ATTACACCCAAGGTCACGCGTGTTTTTACGTTTACTAGGCTGACCTAAAATTTTTACCGTAAGCCTTTATGGTATAGTGAAAAAATAAATCGAATAATTGGAATGTAAGCTTCCCGGGCTCTCGAAAGTGAAGGTATTTTTTTATTTCTTTTTTTTTTTTCTTTGACGGATAAGTAGCGCTCGGAGATAATCGTTTGAAGCGTAAGGAAATCTTCACATTAGCATCGAAAGAATCCGCGTAGCATTCGTTATATCCACACTCACAATTAATGTTACGCTTCATTATTACGCTCTCGCAAATTATGAAAGTCATCCGCCTTCCGCATTACTTTCACGAATATTCATATTCAGTGAGTTATGGAAGTCATTAGGGATACTGAGCTCAGAAGCTGAAGCGAGAAAGAACAAGCGAGTCATTCATTTGAATCATCGAATAAGCATCTGATTTCTAAGAAATTAGATCAATGACTTTTTGTACGCGAAAATTCTCTATGCCTAACTAGCCCATTCTAATTAATCTGCAATGTCAATTAATGTCCAGCGTAATGTAACGTTACCTCGCGACAGCTTCGGCTTTACATCGGCTATACGACCCGTCGACGATCGAGTATTGCGGCCAAGTATCGATCGTTGAGATCATTGCTCACCGGCGGCCGCGGGTCGGCAAATGTCGCGCCCGTAGCAGCACAACTCGATAGCGATCGCCGAATCTGCCGATCTTCAGGTCGTCGTCGATACGACGAGGATAAAGGACAATGGCGGGACTCGGGGGCGCCGTGCTCTCGACGTATTTTTCGCCCGGGCTGTGGCAGCGCGTACGTACCGTTACCCGCCGGAGTTATAGCCGCTGCTCGAAAACGCGCGGCCGTACCGAAAAGAGAAGAGAGGAGAGGAGAGAAAAGGAAAAAGAAACGAGGAGCCCGAGGAGTGAGAAGCCGCGATGCAGCCGCTGCTATTGCAATGCCAGTAATGGCAGGAGTCGAACGGCGATCAGTTGGCGCGCGGCCCTCGTCACATCAGGTGCCGGAAGCCAGGCTCGGACTCATCTCGCTCCTCCTCCGGGGCTTTCCTCGCCGATAGGGCCGCCTTTGTATTACCAGCGGGGGAGTGTCGATAGCCCGAGGAAATACCGAGCCCCGAGATGGAGCTGCAGGGACGCCTCGCTGCGGTTACAGTGACTCTCTACTTGGCCGTTGTAAGTGCCCTCGCTACTCCTATCCTTATTCAACAATGACTTTAGATCGCATATTCTGCATAATCGGAAAGTATTGCCGGATATTAGGTGATATTGCTTAGCAAACGACATTGGGTTCGGATGGGAGATTGTGTGTCGTTGAACTATTTTCGAGGCGGCTCCATCGAGGCAATTTGTTAGAGCGGAAATAATACTACTGGTGGAACGGATTAATAATCACTTGCGAGTAGTTCATAATACACGAAAGTATCGATAAATCTTGCACTTGTTACTTGAGCATGAACGTTAATGCAAAATATTCTATTAAATTGCGCGTTGTTGTGTATCTTTTTTTTTTTTTTTTTGTTTTTGTTTTTGTATTTTTTTGCTGTTGGGGCGGCGGGGAAGGGGGTCGTCTTTGTATTTTCAACTCGAATCACAACGCTAGAAAGTCCCTAATAAAGTTTGTATTTGAAATAGAAATGTATGGACTGTACTGGCGATCGTATATTTATGTTAAGGGTGTCACACATTTTTCTCTTGGCTTTATTACATCATTTAATGACACGGAGCGTGAAGATGAAGAAGAAGAAGAAGAAGAAGAAGAAGATGAAACATTAACGAGCCTGTTATTGATCATTGATCATCCGAATAATTTAAACAATGCGTTTAGCAAGAGGGAAAATAAAACAAATATGTCAAACGATTCCTTTGCTCCCTACTAAAGTTAACAATCTCGAATAATCGACATTTCGATTATTTTGAAAATAGGAATTCCAATCTCTTGGACAGTATAATGTCGATTGTGAGGAGCCATTGGCGCGCGATGACTATGATTTTTTCCCAATCCAATATACTAATTTATTTACGCAGCTGATAAATGTGGCGATGGCCCGAAGTGAAAACTCCAAACAACTGTCATTAGAAGCGAAGGAGACCACGGCGGCCAATTTCATTCGATTGGTTGTGATGAGGCTAATTTTTGGTATAGCCTCGGCTATGGGATTCGGCGAGGGTCTCTCCAACTTTTTAGGAGGGATTTTCGTGCCTCCAGGGGCCGATTACGAGGACGATTATGACTACGTGCCGAGCCTGTTTTAGCGACAGACAGGTGACGATTATCGTATAAGCCCAATGAAAATCTTTTGAAAAGTATAACTGTTCTGGCTTGTGATATAACTGATTTGTGCGTTGTTAATGCCATTAAACATTAAAGTAAACATCGGGCAAGTTTGGGCCTAAGATTGAATTGACCGATTAAACATTGTTAATTCATCGTAATATTAGCCATTACTTATTTATTTATTTATTTATTTATTTATTATTTATTCGTTTGTGGATTATTTTTTTTTTATGTTATATTACGTTCTATTTTCATTAAACATAATAATTATGTACAATGTGAATTATTTAGCTCACCTCTCTAACCATCTAAACATTTCAATTTTTAGCCCATATTTATTATTTATTTCAACGATGGTTAATGGTAGGGAGCTAATTTTAATATAAAATTTGTATGTGAGAATTAATTGTAAAGCTAATTAAGCTCGTGTTGCGTCAACTATTCACAATTATATTTTTAGCGCAAAAATTTTTCATTATTATATAACATTACTTTCAACTTGTGACAAATATAAATTATGGCTATCATATTATTTATGAGTATAAATGATAATCTTACATTTAATTATTAATTATAAGAATGCATTATTGTGGCATGAAGGAATTATTGAGTTAGCAATTCGTTGAAAAACATTCAGAATCGCTAATTAAACTTCAACTCAATAATATTATTAATGTAAAAGGTAAAAATTGCCATTATCTTAAAATTGATATTACTGTCATATTTAATATCAAATAAGCATTATCAAATTTTATTTACAACGATACTTTAAGCATTGTTATAAATTTATTAAAAATTTTTTAAACATAGCACTGTTTTATTAAAACTTATTTATTAATTCTTACAAATAAGTGCCTAATTTACATTACAGGGATTTATTATAATTACATTAGTCTTAGTTGATTGTAACATAATAACTATACATTAATTTTCTGTAACAATGTGCCAACTATTTATATCAATTATAATTCAAGCATAAATATAATTTCATTTTAATTTCTTCCGTATCTAAAACTCATTTCTATTAACGAAGAAACTGTAATATCAACATTTTATCATTATAATAATTTGCTATTAAATATGTATATATTAATTTATTAACGATTGATTGTTAATTGAAATAAATGTAAAAATAAATATAGCAAATAATCTATTTATTTTACATACCTGTAAATTTGAAAATGTTTTTTTTTATATAATAATAAAATAACATTTACTATGCAACTAGTAGTAGGTAATAGTATAAATATAATTTTGATTTAATAAATGTGGACATTCTAAAGTTCTCATTGTTAATAGAAAACTCATTAATAATTAATGTTAAAATCAATGTTAAGTGTGTTAATAACACATAGGCCTTTTTTTTGATACTATTAAAAAGTAATGAATAAATTATATTTTAGTGGTATGGTGAACTTCATTGCTTGCTGTCACTTTCGTATACTGTGGTATATGAATTCGTTTATAAGCTTTCTCTGATAAAAGTAAGACATGCTACTTAAAATTTACATTTTACACAGTTAACTTTTATAGCGTAATAGAAAACAGTATGTTTATGGCGTAATACCGAAAGTATGCATGAAAAATAATTGCATATTTAACAAAACATAAAATTAGTAGAAATAACTTTATCAGAAATAATATGAAAATATAACGAAGTAGGAATTTTTTAAAAGAATAAATCGCGTATAAATATTTCGATTTCTTTATTTTTTCAACTTTAGCATATTAAATCTACTTTATTTTATTAAATTAATTTTTTATAGTTTTTATGGGATTTAAATCCTAATTATTATTAATTGCCAAGAAAATTCACATATATTTATCAATCCTTTAAATAAAATATATATATATATATACATATATATATATATATATATACTGAAATTATTATAATAAGATAATGTTTCAATGGCAGATGGTGAATAATATATTGTTTAAATATAGAAAATATATTGAATTGGTTTCTTTATATATCATAAAGTTAATAGTTAAGGTACACAAATACTTTGAATTTCATAAATGCTAAGAAAAGAATTGGAATTTAAAGAATAAAAATAATACGCTTATATGATATCGAGAGAAAAATTATAAACTTTAATGAATTAAAAATTTAATTAAATTTCAATTAAAAACTTCTCGAAATACTTATCGCTAATAGAACAATAAATTAATATATTAAATATAAATATGTATAATATATTAATATTAATTTTTTAAAAGATAATATGTATTTCCTTGATAAATATTATTATATTGTATAATATTATAAGATTTTCGAAATAAGTAGTATTATGCTTACAGTAAATATAATACTAATTATCAAAATAATTATTAAGTATAATTGGGGATAAACGAAATTTTTACTGTTTTAGAAAAAAAAAAGTTTCTTTTATACAATCGTAACAGTAAGAATTTATTGATCTTATACAAAATTTATAGATTATAATAATATAAAAATTTAATATAGATGCAATATAACAAAAATCATTTTATTCATTTCACATCACGTGCGTGCGTCATTTGTTGAGTTCGCACGTGTACGGATTCCATCGAATAACTGTAATTAAATATACATTTACCGGTTACTAGATTAAACATTCATTATAATTAATGCATAATAAATATGTATTATACAGCTCGTTTACAAATATAATGAATTAATTTGTAACAAAATAATAATTTACAAAATTAAAAAAAATATTCTATAATACCTATAACAATATAATTTTTATATTTAAATATCACTAAAATAAGACTCATCGTTTTCCTCATCGAAATGCATCGTACAACCGAGTTTCTTCCGTATTAAATCTCCCCATAATATATCGACATTACAAGCAGGACAACATCCTTCTATCGGCAGAATCATATCATCTTTTCTAAAATGTTCTGCCAAACAAATTAAATGCGATATCAAACTACAATTAGGCTCCACGCAAGTAATCGCATCTTCTTCTTCTACCATCGACAAACAAATCTGACAATATGTTTCATCCATATTTGTTACTTTATTCACTGGAATTTCCATTTCCTTGCTTTTTTGAGATCCTTCATGGGCATTTTTCAACGGTTTGGAAGTGATTTTCCCGTAAGCGATGGGCATATGAAGAGGCGGGCGCACCCAGCTCGAGTATTCCCTGCCGAAATCGTCGTCTAACCATCGAAGAATTAACGGCAATCGTACCCAGGGTACGACGTTAAGCATCGCCGAGAGCACCATTAATTGATAATTGAATGTTCTTTGTCGAGACTTCTTTTTAATCACGTGATTTAATCGCCGACTATGTTCTGGATGCTGCCAGGCCCATTCGAACTAAAATTTACAAGTTTTCAAATTCCAAATTAACAGCCACAGGTTGTACTTAATTCTACCTTAAGTAACAAATATTTTTTAAATTTATGTTCAGATGTTTTTACGTAAAATCAAAATAAGCTTAAACGATTATTGTTATTACTTATATATGAAGGTATCCATAGCAGTTTATTTTTATCACTTAGAGTTTCTTCTATTACACAACTTTTCATATAATGTTGTATTTACACAATAATTAAATAAATATATATATATATATATACATTAATAAAAATTAATTGATTCGTTCAAAACTATTCGTCTCTACATACTATACAAAATATTAGTAGAATATATTATTTTAATTAGAAAATTATTAATATCTTACATTGATAATGTTAGATTTCATTATGATTTATATATATATATATATATATATATATATATATATTTTTTTTTTCCATAGTATATTATAATTGTAGTTAAATTACATTTGGATCAATTAATTACCTGTAGAGCACAAATTGAATTAGGAAATCCATGCACGATCAATATCATTTCCCTAAGAAAATTTAAATTAATATTAATTAAGTAATCTTTGATCATTTTTATGAAGTTGAATGATGTATTAGCATACTGTCAGACACCAAATAAAATACTAAAAAAATTTTGTATCATTTAATACTAATAATAAAGAACTAAAGATATTTTTATATGTTATATAAATTATGCATTGATTGCAAATTTTTAAAATCAATTTGCTGTCTTCAAAGTATTAATGCAATTTCAATTATTATTTGAAAATTGAATTATTTTAAAATAAGGAATTTTTCGGTGGAAAAAATATAGCAAAATCGTAATTATTTATACTACTGATTTATTTTAGGTTGCTAAAATACTTTCTCTGACTAATTTTAAATCCAATGCAAAAATCATAAACTTTCTTATATTTTCATTGAATTGTCTTTATAGAAGAGAAATTTTGAAAATAAAGACATCATTTCAATTTACATACTCATGACATAAAAAATGATTCTTTAACACATAAAAGTATCGTTTCAAAATATTAAATCATTAGCTTCCTTCAAATAGCGTCATGCTTTTTCATTTGAAAATGTCAAATGTACATTATTTTAAGGCAAATTTTCAAACATCTGTGCTATCTTCGTAGAACGTCCAACTACAAAACCAAAATTATTATTCCACACTGTCGTAAAATACTCATAGACGTAAACAAATTTTAAGGTTATACTCACCACGGACCACGATTGCTCGTTTTCCATGCCCCGCCAAAATTTTTCCCTGCGTTGTGCTGTTTTATTCTTCTTTTAGGATTGACTGTATAGCCAATATATGTTTTACCTTTGTAATTTGGATTTTTACAGTAAAGTAAATAAACTCCGAAAAAATGCTCGGATATTTGTTCGGTTTCCATAATCCGTGATTAAAGAACGTATCCTGAAATGCTCGAGCTTAGCGCTTTATTGGTTACTTCCTTCAATCATTCATGAATATGCAATAAAGCAATGTGATGGGACATAAGAGGAGATTTGCCTCGATATACGTTTGAGGCATGCGCAGTGGAGATCTCAAGTTCTGGAGTTTATATAAGCTGCTTAATTTAAATTTTTGTATGGAAACTTGCGTCGGCCACGCAAATGAACTAATTATATTTATCTATTAAGTAATTAGTGAGAGAAATTTTGATGCATAGGCGAATATCAAATAGAATTTCAAACATGCAAAATTTTATTGTAAATATATATGTTTAGCTATAAAATCAAAACCGATAAAAGTTTTACTTGTAATTTTTCAATATCACATATCAATTCTGAATTTAATAGCCAACTTTATCAAAATCGATTATTGAAAATATTTTATTTTATAAATGGAGTGTAAAATTCTTGTTGCCTCAAGGCATATATCGACAATGAAATTACTACTTAAGAATATACTCATAAAAATAACTCATGAACATTATGCTATATCGATTCATTTTTAAATAAAAAGATAGATTTTAATCCATTTGTAATTTAAAATATATTATTCGATGAGAGATTTTGACATCGATTAAACAGTATGCAACCAAACTTTATATTTAACACCTTTGAATAAACTCATAAATGTTTAAAATAATCATTTATAAATATAAACAATTTAGAGTATAAATGATGTTATATAAAAAAAAAAGTATATATATACACACACACACATATATATATATATATATAATTCTGTATAGTAATTATATAAAAGTTTAAATAAGATGAACATTTATTAAATATTAAAATTATTTTTAAAACAATTAAAAGAAATGCTTATAAAAGAAACATTCAGTAATTCCAATTTTATTCAATATCGAACGTTACAGGATTTACGTTAATTTTTACAGTACAAGTAAAATCACCACTCAAATAATACATTTTAAAATACTCTTTAATAAATTTAAGAGAAAATAATTTATATTTGCACATTTTTACAAGTCATACAATTAATAGGTAATTGTGAAAACCACATATATTTACTACAATAATTTGTATAAATTTATTTCATATAATATAATTAATGTCAAGCTATTTTTATGAACTACATTTTTAAGACTCTGATTTGACATATTTATGGTAACATCAATGTATAAATTATGACACAATAATTACAATATTCACGAATTTATCATTGGATTGTTAAAAGTATTATCTTCCGTGAATTTATAGAATATGAAATAGATCATGGATATTTCTTAACATAATTGAATTAATAAATCACAACGTCCGACACATTAAATATTTCTTTGAGCAAATATAATGTTTCATTTCTATTATTCACTAAATATAGCAATGAAGATAATTTTTTGCAATTCTAATTAAACGCTCAACAATCAATTTTCTATTAAAAAATAATAATAATTTTAAAAAAATATTTATGTTTCAGTCTGATGACAATAAAATTTAAAACAATCTATAATATCTAACATAATTTTGTAACATATACAGCAAAACTAAAAATAAACGTTACAAATGCGACACTGTTACATTCATAAAGATTTCTTAATTTATTAAAGCAACGTAAAATTGATTAAACGTTCCTGCGTGAGGTTTATTTTCGTTGACTTGTGTTTGTTGTTTTTATGCTATTATTTATGCGATATGACCCCACAGATTATATTGTATGACATACATTATAAATAAATTTTTCTTTTTGCCTTTCAATCCACTTCCTATTCTTCATTTTTGTTTTTTTTTTTTTTTAATAACGTAAATTTTCATTAGGCATTATTGAATTTCTGCATTTTGTACATTCAATAAGCATGGTTTTCGACGAAAAGATTAGCATTTCCAGCTTTTCCGACGGCACCACCTTCATAAGTTCCAAGTGTAGCTTCGCTATTAGCCTGTAAAGTTACAAATTTTAAAAATAAATTAGAAATTTATAACATTTATTTTATACTTTCAGAATTGTTATATGCTTTTAATAATTAAAGGCAATCAATATGATTTGCTCTAAAACATTATTCTTATCGGTATTGCTTATTTCTTTCGAAAATACTAAAATCAAATACTAAAATAAAATTAATCGATAAAAAATAGAACTTTTATAAATAGTATGATTTATAGGAGTTTAATTATAAAATGCTTCTTCTCCATGTAGGTATTTTTTTTTTTAGAAAACATTGTTCTTGTTTGGAAATTTATGTCTAATTTATTAAGTATCGAATATACTTAATATCGAATTTATTTAATACTGTTACATTTTTAATGTTATATATTTGTGAAAATATTTGATGTTACTTATTTTTGTAAATAAATGTAATAAACATATTCAAACATATTCTTTAATGAATTATAATATATATAAGGTTTTTATTAATATTGGAGAAAAAAATTTTTAGAAACTTATTTCTGAGAGGAATTTAATGAAGAATGCGAGATCGAACTAATCACAAATTTTTCAATAAAGTATTATTTCTTTAATAAGCATCTGCTTTTCAATGGAATGAAGAAGAAGTTCTATCATTTAATGCATTTAATATTTCTAGCGCCATATTTTTGGTTTGGGAGGCTACGCTATTGCTCACAAAAAAAAAAAAAACTGAACGACAAATATACGTATAATACAATAAGGAGAGTAAAGTGTGCAAAGAGAACATTTACAATGTAATAGATACTCTTACTAAGTATTTAATGTAATCTATATATACAGTAATATGTAAAGGAAAAAAAAAGGTAAGTCGATAAAGGAATGTTTGTAGTAGAGATTTAAGAAATAAATTTCGATATATTTTTCATTGTACAACTAACTTATTAATCATGGTATTATACGCTTATCAGTGAAATTGATTTACTACTTTATTCGTAATACAGAAGCATTATATTGAAGATATAAGATATTCAACAAACATATGTAATTGTATTATGCAAAATTGTTTACCCAAATAAATAAGCAGAAAAATATATATGAAAGTAAAGCAGAGAGTTTATTCAAATAATTTTAAATACACCGTATGTAGCTATTCTATTATCCGAAAAATCGTTATATCCCAATGAGTAAGGACCAGTGAAAAACATGTGAAAAGGAGAGCGAGTTTGTCCATGTGTATGCATACCTTCGCTCTCTTAATGAGTTCGTTTTGCGCAGCCTCGACCTGTTCCTTCTTGCCTGCCCAAGTGCGGAGAACGGAAGCCTGTAAAGCCCGTCCGTAGCTAAATGAGATGGACCAGGGCTTCTTGCCCAAATATTGGTTAATCGCATTGAGATTGACCGAAGCTTCCTCCTCGGATTGGCCGCCACTGAGGAAAGCGATGCCAGAAACTGCTGGCGGCACAGTGCGCTGGAGTGCGGTTACCGTCGCGGTAGCAATCTCCTCGGGAGTGGCTTTCGTTGGGCAGCTGTGTCCGGGTGTCACCATGTTTGGCTTTAGGATGGTGCCTTCGAGGTATACATTATGATCTGCCAAAGCCTGCGAGCACGGGAGTTTTAGAGAATCGCTACTAGCCAAATATATTCTTATTATTATTTTAATAGCTGATTATACAGTTGCATTTCTTATGGGAGTTTTTAAGAACTCTATGAATTTTGTGATTTAATGGCAAGCAAATTATCTAGAAACACAATTATATTTTAAGATTTAATTAATAATTTTCATATATTTGATTCATTTATTATTTATTAACATTTATTATATTATAAGATAATGATTAAAAGATCATAATGATAAAGAGAAATAATATTGAAATTATTATATACAAAATTATTGACGTAAGAGTTATTTATTTTAAATTATGTTCACACGCAAAATTTATCGATTAATTTATAATTTTAAACTTTCTTTTTAATAAATTGATGTGAAATTTTTTAATTTGAAAAGAATCAATCTATGAATAAATATCAAGATCCGTTATATTTTATTTACACTTGTAAAATTTATTAAAAACTTTTTATCTTTTTGAAGCCCATAAGTTAATTGGTATTATTAATGTATAAAATAAAAACTGTATATATATATATATATATATATATATATATATATATATACAGTTTTTATTTTATACATTAATATAGCAGCTATCTAATGATAATAGTTTAATGATATCTCTAACACGAAATCTTGAGGCAAGCACTCGTAGAATTTATTTACCAGACAAATTAATAGACTTTATTAATCGCACCTTGTAAACGGCGGAAAGAACCTCCTCAGTAACCTGTTGGCATTTATGGATATCGTGAGAACCATCTGGCAAAATTTCAGGTTCGACTATTGGCACTATCCTCGCACTCTGGCAGATAGACGCATAGCGAGCTAAAACATTAGCGTTCTCGAGGATAGCTAATTTCGACGGGCAGCCTTTCTTAATTTTTAGAACGCAGCGCCATTTGGCAAATTGACAGCCGTCCTTTTTGTACTGGATACAGCGAGCCTGGAGATCATCAAGACCTTGGGTTGTGCATTCGTCGTTGGTACCGAAAAGCGGCACTACACCCTTATCGACTTTGATACCTGGGATGATGTTGCGCTCCTTCAGCAATTCGACGAATGGCGTACCATCATCGGCTGCTTGGTACAATGTCTCGTGGAACAATATTACACCGGAAATGTGTGTGCTGATCACGTCCTGAAATAAAATTATAATTATTACTCAATTGAATAAGCATTATAATTTACATATAACAGTGCCAATGCAATAATCATATAATGTTAATACGTATACATATTACAACTATAGCATTCATGATAATTTCTATGAATTAAATTAATAAGAAGAAAAGTTCTATACCACTAGAGAATCAAGGCAAAAAATTCATTTTAATCTTAAGAATCTCAGGCATTTCATAAAAGACTTGCGTTTTGTCTCATAGCAAATGACATTTGATTAAGTTTTATTATGTATTTATGAAAAAGTAATTGGAAACTATAAGATGCTTTCAAGTGTACATTATTGTCAACGAGCCGACATTATAAATATAAAATTCACTTTAGTTTTAAGACATTCCATCTTCAACACAAATGCCAATTCTTTGCATATCATTACTTCAATGAATTAATCTTGTAACGAAGTACGATCGCACAAGTATAGCCATGGCGTACTACCTTGTTTGCGGTGAAAAGCAATTCTCTGTAAGCTTTCCGATTAGCCTCGTTGTTCTCTATATTGATGTCATTGAAACGCTTGCCGATGGTACTGGTGGACTCATCAGCAGCCAGGATACCTTTACCAGGCATAACCATCGCTGTCGCAATTTCACTCAACTCTGTTTTTAACTCAGGCTCAGCCTTCAGGTAACTTTCCGCCGGCATTGTCTGAAAAATTACACATTTCATTTGTCCAATTATCTTAAAAATTTCCTACATATATATAAATGATTTTTTATATTATTCAACATTTTTATAAATTTCTCCCAAGTGTGTAAATTGCAATATATTTATAATAAACTTTGGGAATTAATAATATTTGGTTCGTCTCAATTTTATTCTTCGCTTGTACAACTAATAAGTATATATATATATATATATATATATATATATATATATAATTTTTTAATAATTAATAACGATGAATAAATATGTTCATAAAATCTATTGTTAATATATAATATTCATTATGATATTCATTCGTTTGTGAATTGGTTTTTTCTTATATTTCAAAAAATTGCAATATTTCACAAACGGCATGATTTATAATTTTCCTTTATTTCCTGATACATTTGCTTCGAAAATTTTAAATATATTATTTCATAGGAATAATATATCGTACAAATGAATCTTACGATACTTATACAATGTACATTGTACTTTGTATATTATTCGGTAAATAACATTGAACGGATATATTCAATGAACCGTTTTCTTAATATAATCTTAAAATAGTTAATAAAAACTCATTTTATTAAACATAAAATAGATAAATAATGTTCATTCGTTCGTAAAAAAAAAAAAAAAAAAAAAAAAAAAAAAAAAAATTTGTTTCATTATATTAAAATAATAAAAGCGAGTATTGAATTAACATATTTTCAAACATTTAATAATATAGTGAATTATTTATGATAATGAATAAATATAATAAAAGTTTATTATTTAAAATAATTATTGGAGCTATTTTTATAGTTTAAAAATTTCTTTCGCCATCTTTCATTAAATTGTAGAAAAATAATTCTTTATATATTAACTTTTCTAAATTAACTTATTAAAGTATTTATATATTTTTCGTGTATTTAAAATTCTGAATATTAAAGTTCTTTAATTTGTTTTTAAATAATATTTATGCTACAGTTCTATTTAATTAGATATTTCCGTACAATTATTATAATTAAATCCTTTTATAAATATTTTAAGGCGATCAAAGTCACCCAACGAGTTTGGTCTTTGATTCTTCGTATTCGGTCACCGTTCGTTCATTCTTGAATTATTAAGTTCGAACAATACGCTATTATGTACATATATCGTTCATAACGAAAGATACTTTAATCGCAATTCTATAAAATAACATTGTTATAATTATTTCCAATTATTATTTTGATCGTTTTATTATTAAACTTTATAGGAAGCAAATTAAAATTACGCATCATTATTAAATTTCGGTATATATATAAATATTTATTTTATGATCCGTTTGCAAATAATATTGAAAAAATGTAATTGATATGTAAATATATGAATCAGAAATTGTTATCATAATATTTGAAAAATGTTTTTGTTTTTAAAGCTTATGGAGGGTATTTTAATAAATATTTAATAAATGCCTCTATTAAAATTATAAATCAATTCAAAACAATAACTAATATTTTTAAATATAAATAAATTTTATAGATATACATCAAACCACTTGTCTAACAAAATTAAAGACAATCTAATAAACTAGATAATTATTTGTCAGTAATTTATTGACTATTAAGAGGAGTTTAAGAATATTGGAAATTACCAAACGCTTGAAGTCGTTATCTAATGACAGTTCGTCACGTCATTTAGTTGGAATGATACATTGTAAGTTTCCATTTGTATTTATTGGTATGAGATGATACTCATTCCCAAATATGCGCAATTATTTTTCAAAAAGTGTATGATTCACAGATAATAAGACAAGAATGATAATAAGTTTTATTGGTTATAGTAAGTAAAATAAAATAAAATAAAATAATCGGAAAGTGAATGTCTGAGCATTTTGATAAATACTTAAGAATACATATTTGTATAGATAATATTTTACATGCATATTATCAAAATTCTAATAATTCATTTTCAATGTGAAACTTTTCCCACGTCATATTTTTATCGATATCATTATTAATTTATGATCAGTTTATTTATGAAATTTCATCTCACCATTTATAAATAATTATTACTTTTATTATTATTATTACATTTAACTGCATAGTAAGAATATAGTTGGCGTTGAGTAAAAGATTTTTCACGAGCTACAAAAATTCATAATTGAATATAGTACAATGTTACCAAAAATCTTTCTAGGTTTACTTGTTTCAAACTATTAAGAATCGTGGCGTATAAAAAATCATGAAGCTCTCAAATTATAATTATTATAAAATCATACTGATATACAGAATCTGGTAAGATTATATCGTAAAAGTCTGGCGATCGTGCATATATGGTATTTCATATCAGGCCCATCAAATCCTAACATAAGCTAACGTATATAAAGTCATTAGTAGCGTTGACATATATTCGATTGAATATCTAAAATTATTGACAATCTATGGATAAAATTTTAATTAAAATAATTTTAATAATTACTGCACCGTTTAGAATAATTTCATTTATAAATGAAAAGATATTTTCGTATGTTTATTATTTTAGTATATAGGCAATCAGACTTAATTCAATAAAAACTCAATAAACAAGTAAAATTATTTCATAATTCATATAAAAAGTACATGTTATTCTATTAATTATTTTCGAATATTTTGATTTGTTATTGAAAGCGCATTATAATATTATCAAATGATACAAAACGTCTCCATACTACTATTGAAATTATAATTTCAAATAATAATAATAATAATAATAATAATGTTTTACGATAATGAATGAAAAAAAAAACAAAAACAATATTTGAATTGTTAATGGAACACGACGAATTATCCATATTATTGCATCGATGAAGACGATCATGAAATAGAAACAATTACTTTATTGCCAGTCTTTTTAAGATCACATACACACATTACCGCGTGTAGGTGAACTGGATATGAAAAAGTTCATTTATAAGAAAATGTTAAATTTATCTAGACTGCACCAAAAGCTTTTCTTCGTGTAATATGTGAGATAAGACTCGATGACCCCTTACATTTCACTGATTCATTCCATGGAAGTTTATCTATTTTTGTCTTGATTGACAGTCGAATACTTGCAATCGTATAATAAAGAAAAATTAATGCTACAGCTTGACTAAAAGAAATAATGTATAATAATTAGTCGATAGTTTAAATACAAACTTTTTATTGAAACGAATGATTATACATAATAAGTACGTAAGAAGATAAAATCTATTATGGTAAAAGATTTATTTGTATGTATTATATCTATTTGAAATTAGAATGTAACAATTTTTAATGTATACACAAAAATAGCAAAATGCTTTTAAATAATCTATGAATATGGGAAGCATAGCATCACATGTTTAATATAACCACGACAGAGAGAGAGAGAGAGAGAGAGAGAGAGAGAGAGAGAGAGAGAGAGAGAGAGAGAGAGAGACGTAAGTACGTAAAAAAAATAATAATATTAAACCTTTGAAAGTAAGTAAATAAAATAGAGCCGAAATTATAAATACTATTGAATGTTTAATTGAAAGAAGTTTTATTTGATAAATATTACATTCGATATAACATGACAACATTCCTTACTAACATTATTTATTTTCAATATTATATACATACTAGTTATAACTTATAAATGACCAAATGTGCACAATATTACAAGCAACTATTATTTAGTAATTACAACAGCAAAAATAATATAATTTTTACGTGCATTAAACTGGAACAAACTGAAATATATATCAATTTATAAATTAAAGTATCTGGCTAATTTAAAGTTTTTCTATGACGACACGTTTGTACAAGTGTCACAAATATGACGTCACCGTCACGATGTTTTACGTTTTATTTTAACATTTTTTTAAACGGATAAACATAGTATTAATCATCACGGTAAACGATATAGTTTATGTTTCAAAAAATTGCAATTCCTAAGAAATACATTATTTAATTTCATAAAAAGCTTTTGATATAAAGAATTGTCTTGGCTAACCAAAGAATTATATTTCCATGAATAATATATTCATATGATGCAATATGCAAGCTACAATAATAATTGTATTTCTATTATAAGTTGAAAATTACAATTGAAGCTGTAAATATACTATACACTGATCGACGCAATTGCCGGAATTTTTACAAACTCGACTAAACTTATGGAAAGCAACAATAATAAGGTTTCAATTACCTACGTAAATCTAATTTACCGCGGTCAAACATTAAAATAAATGAACATTGTTAGATCCGTATCACTACGTTCGAATGATAAATATAACTTCCACTTTAAAAAAAAAAAAAAATAAAAGAAAAAAAAAAAAAAAAAAAAAAAAAAAAAAAAAAAAAAAAAAATGAGGGTTAGAATATGTTTGAAACCGGCTTTTGCCATCATTAAATCTCAAATGACAATTCACATTATGCAATGCTCAGGGAATTTCGTAAAATTTTATTAGCGAACGGACAATTATGATCGAGTATTATCGATGCTCGTTACAAGACCGCACCTACTCTCAAATTATAATCATCTCATGAGAACTGTAAGTAACATTAACGTAAACAAATTACACACTGATTTTATTCGCGTGCCTTTGCTCTCGCTCTCTCCCTCTCAACCAATAAAATCATCTCAAATACACGCCCATTACGTAACGTTGGCAAACATTTGATTCTCGACCCTCAATTTCGGCAAGTATATTCCAAGTCTTTCTTTTGAGGCCAAACATCGTGAAAATGCTCGGGCCGCGAATAGTTCAACGGCATCGATCCCCTAGAAAACCTCGAGCCAAGTAGTCGCACGCGCACCGCTAATCCAATGTCAGTCAAGGTCAGAGTGGTAGGAATTGGCCAAAGTACGTGTCGTGACGCACATGCACGCGGACATAGTTCCATAGGGAGAGATATAGAGAGAAAGTGAGTGAGTGAGTGAGTGAGTGAGAGAGTGAGAGAGGCCAATCGCGCGCTCACGTTCGGCATTCGAATATGCCAATTGAACAAGTCAACAATCGAATACTCGCCGCTCATTGACATCATAAGGGCTCGAACTGAGCTCGAACTGAGCTCGAACTGCCCTCGACCAATGACTTACGTGTATAGGGCTGCCTTTTGGAGCTACTGGTAATATGTCTCACGGGAGATCCGATATAGAATTGAAATGCAAAGCTTAAGGATCGTCGCCGATGGCTGTCCGTACAGACGTAGAGCGAACGTACAACTGGAGCTTAACACCACAAATCGCGCTACGACTTTCTCTACCACGATCGCGACTACTTACTTTTCTTCCTCTACTTCCCGTTACTTGTCAAAGCGCCGCACGCACGTACTTATCCCTCCCTCACGCCCTCCCAGCGCCGCTCATCGTAATCCCCTTCCGTCCCACTTTGCCCAACCAACCCGCGGCACCGACAACCCTGAATCGCTGTTACAGTGCTGCTCTGACTGTCGCTCAACGGTCTTTATTGCGCGGACGATTTGAAATTTTGAACAAAATTCGGAATATTGAAACTTTGCGCGGAGGCCTGCAGCCACACCGGTTGTGCTGGATACGATAAAACAACTCAAGCCGAAGAAAAATTTTACATGAGACGAATGGTTTTGCCATTCGGCTTCGATGGGACTTTAGAGTTAGCCGTACGATTAATGAGCTGGAAATCCTACGCGGGATTAGAAGATTATCGTGGATAAAGATTTTTTCCGATGGCTTTTTGTTGTTGTTGTTGTTGTTGTTGAAATTTTTGTCAATGCAGAGGTGCGGTAATGTTCGGGGGGAGGTAGAAAAGATCTCGATAGAAAGAGAGCGTTATATACCTTGGGATTCTTAGGAGACGAGAGAGCATTTGAATTATTTTTCTTTTTCCGACAGCCGGAACACTTATTTTTACATAAGCAAGCATTTCGCCGACGAATCATGACGATTGAGTCTCGACGGCTCCCCGAGAACTGACCGTCGGCTGACCGCGTCAATCTAGCGCTGGAAACAAACGAGAATTAATGGTCGATCAGCGAGGCGAACGATCCATTGGATTGCGGGAACCAATAAGCTCCGATGCCGTCAACGATACGGGAGAATTGCCTCGTACGACTTCTTGGGGGATCCGATCGCACACATAATTATCGTCAGCGAGTCTCTTGCGGGAACGCTGGCCAGCCCTGGAGGTCGATCAAGGTTCCTCACTCGTGACTCATACGCCCGATGACTTTCTCCGCATTTTCCGGATATTATGAGCGAAGTTATTGGGTGTGTGCTAACTGCATTGACATATCGTTGACAAACGAGTTACGGAGTGTATTTGCATTGCTATCCTATTGGAATTAATTTTATGATATTGCCAATTTAAAAATACATTCACTTTGCTGGCAAAGTTCTATTATACGAGCGTTATACAATAAATGGCTCATCGACTTGCAATGTCGATATGTCGGAGAACTTAGTTTTCTACGACGTTAAGCCATTAGAATATTAAATTTATTGTTCACGCGCTATTCGTAAAAACTGCATTGGCAAAAAATTTGCTGGAAAAAGAACGTGACGACAAATTATCTCCTATGACTTATTCATATTGATTAATCGAGTCAATATTTTCAATTTATTTAGAAATTATTATATTCGTATGCATAGGCATGCATACGCGCGTATGTATGCACATACATAGAGATATATTTGAGAGTGAAAATGCAAATGAATGTTTTTAATGATGCAAAATTGTATCGCGCTAACGCACTAATTTAACTTCTGCAAATGCTCTTTCGGTAATATTTTACTAAAAACATAATGTCCCTACTGGCACATGCACAATTTACTGTCAGTGAAAAATGAAGTTAACTGCATAATGAAACAATAAAATAAATTAATGAGATAATTTTTTAAATAAAAAAAAAAAAAAAAAAAAAAAAAAAAAAAAAGATTTGAAACTTTAATGTCAAGCAATAAATGAACTAAATTCCCTTTTTATCGTTTATCAATTTTTTTTTTTTTTTTTTTTTTTTTTTTTTTTTCAATATTTCTTAACAAGTGTACATGTTTCAAAAAATTTTATTATGTTATTTACTATGTTATTTACAATTTCTTAACATAGAGCGACGTTTAATAAAGTTCATAATATAATAGCAGTTGTTGGAGAATTATTTATAATTACAATTTATTCACATTTAAATTAATATAAATCAATGTAGAAAGTTTTTTGTGAAATTAGGTTATAAAATTTCACCTACTGTACTAGTGGGTAAACAGAATATATTTTGAAGTATGAAGAATACTTGTAATTAATTAATAATGTTAACTGAGCCTATGAAATAACATGCAGTATTTGTTTTTCTTATAAGCTGTTTATGTTATAATGATAGAAACAATTACTTTTATCGTACTTAATGATTACAAATATAACTTAATATAGAAAAATAAATGTAATCATTTCTTATTTGTCGATTAATCGAGTTTAAATTAACTTTGTATTTTTAGATTATTTAAATTGCTTTATGAAAATAATGTGAAAATTTGAACGAATTGTAAATTTGTTTAGAATTATTTTTTTATTATATATAATTATATTTATATAATTATAAATTATTAGGGATTAAATAGTATTAAGCTAAAAATGTTCACTTCTTCACTTATAAATATCGATAATTGTAAAAATATATGATGATGTGAGAGAATTTGTTGTGAGAACATATAATTTCAGTTTATTAGAACTTAATAAGACATATATTATTTGTAATTAATGATATAATCATATTTTTATCTGTATATTGATTAAGTATTTTCAAGAATAAAAGCGAATGATATTCCTGTAATAAACATCATTAAAAATTGGCAATGCAAAGAGAACTCATGAACAATCCATTGTCGTATAACTACAACTTTTAAATGACAAGTACACAAGTTGCAAATGTAATTCGATTCAATTCAAAATAAGTGTAATAGTAGTTACGGCTATTATGAATATAAAAATTTCTAAAACTACATAAAATACATATTCGTTTTTCCTCAATTTAAGTGTATATACAAGGCAGTAGTAAATCAAAATAATTGTTTCGGAAAAAAGTATCAAACTACATTTGTTTTACAATTGTACAAATTACAAAATTCGTATACACAAATGTATTGTTAATTTCAGAACTGAATGATTATAATAGAATTATGATAAATACGTGACTAAATATTATGCATAATGTATTATTATTGTAAATTAAAATAAATAAACATTAAAATATTAAATACGTAAAGTACACTAAAGAAATAAATTCTTGAGAATTTAAAATAATTTATGAATATTATTTATAAAAGATGAAATTTATTTAAATTTAAATAATGGATAATTTAATTATTTAGATATTGATAATTAATTTTGCATAAATTTGCATAATATTTTTGTACTTTGCTTACTTATGGATCAATAAATTTATAAAATAAAGCGGTTTGTAATTGAAAATTCAAAATTTGTAAAATTAATTTTGAATTATGCAAAGAAACGTTATTTCATTGATTGAAACAGTTATTTTCTTTTTTTCTTTTTTCTTTAAATATAAAGTTCATAAATAGTCTGTTTCTTAATTTTAATTATCTCTCATGTTGTTGCTGTTTTTATTATTATTATTATTATTATTATTCTCTATATTAATTGTCCAAAATGAACGTTCATTCAACTCCATATTATAAGCTTTAATATTTATTTATTGAATTGTTAAATAATGAAATAGTTGTGAACTCAAATAAATATGTATTAACATTGCTTTAATAATATTATTTGACAAAAAATATAAAATTTAATAATTTAGTTTAGAATAAATATAAATAAACATTTTCAAACATTTCGAACTTCGATATACTACAAATAGAAATTGTTAATAGAAACATATTGTTCTTTCTATTAATATTATATTAAAAACATTAATTTTGAATATAATTATTCATTTTCAATTAATAATCACGATAAATGATTGTGTAACAATATGATGTATGCATGTGTCTAACGAACTTTTTTTAATAAAAATATAATTCATGATGTCAATACTTGAATATATATATATATATATATTTATATGATTTATAATATAAATCGTTAAAAACATAATTTTAATGAAACCATATTTTTTATTTGTCCTGTTACTTTTTAAAATAAATGTTTTTGTTTAATAAGAATAAAAATATATAAAAATGTTTAAGAGAAGTTTAAAATATGACTGTGAAGAAGTAGTTGTTACAATTGAATATTAAAATTAAGCAAGTCTTTATCTTTTGTCAGTGCATAGAATTGTAATTTTAGTATTTTATTATTAATACTCTTTTAAATAAATTCCAAATATATACATAAAAAAGACTTTAATTTATGAATTTAATATTATTTTTTTAATTTTTTTTACAATATTGCCTTTTCAGATACTATCCAAATACTGTTGAATAATAATAAAATGTAATCGAATAAGTATATTATATTTCTATTATAAATTAAAATAATTAATAAATTTAGTGCTTTTCGATAGATTAAAAATTACATGAGCTGTTAAAAATTCGATAACAAGCTAATGTAATAATATAATTCAAAATTTCCCAAGAACCGTATACGGTAAATTAAATAGTCTATAACGTATTATACAAACATTAATAAATCAAAATTTGTACACAAAAATGGTCAATTACAATGTTTATTATTATTATAGTAATACTATTAGTATTATGTAACACTAATTATATAGTAGTACTAATTATTTTAACATTCCTGTTTGAATTTTGAAAGTATAGAATGTAAATAAAATTGTTGAAAAAATAAAATTGAATCTTCTTTATATTATGTAGTTTTATAAAGCATACATTATATATTTTTATTATTTTACAGTCGTTCCGACATTTAATGTACATTCTGTAATTTTATTCTAATATCGATTGTATTGTTTAAAAAGCTCGTGTAATTAATAAAAATATCGCATGTAAATGTAAGTGTGGAAATTAAAGTTATGCAGACAATATTTTATAATATTATCTTGCATGGAAATAATTTAATTTTTCATACGACTGATAAAATACCTTATTTATATTATATAATACGAATGAATAGAAATATATTTATTAATACTATTGGTGCTTAATAATTTCATCGCCATATCATTAATTTGGATTAAAAATTGCCGTTTGTATAATTGTTTTTATAATTTTCTTACACGCACCTCGTAATACTCTATTAAAACAATAATTATACTATGGCATTATGGTATTTATTAATAAGTAAATTATCGCACAGTATTTTTCCATTATTCGAATTATTTTCTTATGATATTAAAAACTTGAATCGCCGCCATACGGCTAACTGCAAGTTTATTGATATAAATATTCGTGTAACGCAAGCTATACGTGTGTGCATATGGATACCTGCGCGTATCAATCTTAACTACACTGCAAATACTGTATGTTACGTATAGTTAATGTGAAAAATAATTTATTTATTGTATATTTTGTTTTTTCTAACGTAACATCTATAAAATTCTGTAAAATTTATTGAATCGAGAGAGGAAAATCTATTGTGACCTATGGTTCGCGTACGGCGTACCGCACACAAGTAAATCGAAATTCCGTCGAAGGATTTCGATATTCGTTTTTCCTAAACGATGCATTAGAAAATCCTAACGAGGTAGTTATAATTATGTAATTAGAGCATTCATTTTCAATATTATATTCCGGATAAATAGCATTGTACGAAAATAAATGCTTACATTATTAGCTTGTCAAATTCCAAATTTCTATGTCTTCCTTGCATTATCTCTGTCTCTTTCATATGCGAGAGGCGCACGAAAAACGTGTACATGTGTGTGTTTCTACTTTGGCCGCGACTCGATATCAATGAACACCTAACATCGCATTAGAATTTACTTACTTATAAAACGTAATATATACTTATTTGAAATTGCGATGAAAAATTAATCAACCGCTCATCTTGCGGAAGAGGAAAAAAATGACAGGTTGCTGCCCTTGGATTTTAAATTGCCAACTTGGGGGTTATGTTATTTTCAAGGTAATTGACATTGTTCCTCCATTGCTGTATCGATAACAAAAGTTATATACTTTACTTTATGGTATAAATTCATAAATATTTAATGAAATCTGTATCAAACAGTAACTTAGTGAAATGACTATTGAAAGACCTATTATAGTTTTAAAATAATTATCAAATAGTTTTTAAGTGCATACAATACTTTCAAAAATTTGTAATATATTTCTTTGAATAATGAAAATGATCACATTAAAGTTCTTACAATAGAGTTAAATTGATTCATAAGAGTACGATTATTAAATTGAAGAACTTATTGGTAGTAAATTTAGAGAAAGTTGATGTAACTTTAAAGGTAAACATTTCATTATATATTATACATTGATGCAACTAATTTTATTACTAAATTGTATATCAATTTTTAATTCAGTTACAGACAGAAGATTTTTTTTAATAAATTGTATCGAACATGAGTGCGAGAGCTGGTCATATTTCCCGAGTTGATGATTCTTCAGAAAGTCGATTACGTAAAAGGAAACAACATTCTCAAGAATCCAACTCCCAGTCAAGTAGAAGTAGAGAGTCCGATGCATCCTTCAAGCGCAGAAATATCTCTGACAAGGATAAAAAACAAAAAAATAGACAACGCAGTAATTCTAGTGGTAGTTCTAACTTCAGTAAGAGTTCCTTTTCTAATATTAGAAAACCTATTAGAACAGGCAAAGGTGGCCCAAATACTGGTTACGAGAGAGATGTGAGGAGAACAAGAAATTTTCAAAATGGTGAAAATACTAATTATCGTAGAAATCGAGTAGATGATAGATCATTTCAACAAAGAAATCAGAGTAGATTCCAACAGAACAGAACCTTTGATAATCAAAGGTTTAATAACAGATTTGAAAACCGAAATGGTAGAAATTTCACGCAACGCAGAGATAATCAATTCAATCAGCGTGGGTTTATAGATAGAAACAGAAACAATCGAAACTGGAACCAAAACAATGGCGATAGGAGATTTCAAAATCAAAGAAATCAAGGAAATAATTGGAACAGGAATAATCAAGGTAATTTTGATCGAAGACAACCGGATAGGTTTATGAATTCAGGTAATAGACCAAGTACTGGCGAACGGTACTGGAAACAAACCCCACTGAACGACAGATATGTACAAAATCGTAGCGAATCAAAAAATATTGATTCAGGAAGAACAAGAGAGGTAAGAAGTACAAGAGAATCTAGGACTTTCGAAAATCGAAATAGAATTGAAAAGACTCCACCAGCCTTATCGCCAGAGCCAAATCCTGTTGAGGAAGAGAGGATCGATGTGTCAGAGATAGAAATACAAAAGCTTATTTCTGAAAAAAAGAAAAAGAAAAAGAAGTCTCGATCATCTTCGTCCTCGTCTACATCTTCTGCTTCATCTTCAACCACAGATACCGATTCCAGTGATTCCAATGATTCTAGTGACGAATCAAGTAGTAGTAGTAGCAGTTCTGATGACGAAAAGAAAAAAAAGAAAAAGAAGAAACTGGCAAAAAAATTAAAAAAGAAGGAGAAAAAGCGTAAGAAGAAGAAGAAGAAAAAACTAAAGAAAAAACTATCTAAGAAAGTAAAGAATTCTGTGGGTGAAGAGAAAAAACTTTCTAACAAAATAGAAAGTGATCAAGATCGATTGCTCAGTGATATTTCACTAGAACAATCAATGAGATCAAAAGCAATGGCTCCAATGTCTAAAAAGGAATGGGAAAAACGACAAAATGTTGTCCGAAGAATTTATGATGAAGAATCAGGAAGACACAGGTTAGTGAATTTTTTTCTTTTACAATGTCATTCTTATGATTTTACATTTTTTCTGTTACAAACATCGAATATCATAACATATATTTTCAAAAACATAATGCTGCAAGTTGTGTGTATGCTAACTTATTCATGTACAAATGTTATATTAATTAAATTATTTTTATAACCCGACTAAAATGCTTATCAGTTTCCTATATTTTCAGCTCATTTCACATTGTAACGAATTTTTTATTGAAATAATTTTTATTATCACATGTGAAGTGAGTAATGATATAAGAGTAAGGGATGAAGTAAGCTGCAAAAACAAAGCATCAATTGCGAAATATTTCGTATGGAATATTTTCTCGAAACCAACGTATATTTTAGGCAAATAAAAGTTTCGACACGCATACACGCAACGTGGGCACACACGCGAATACGTATTTTCATGTTAATTTACATAGTATAATAACTATTCGTCTATTGTTATCATTGATCGACAATTCATAAAAGCTTTTTACTTTACCGATTGTTTTATTGTTTATTATTATTTTTTATTACTTATGTCGTATAAGATAATAACATAAATGCATACGCATACTCATACTCATACTCATACTCATACTCATACTCATGTTCATACGCATGCGTTAGTCGTTTCTTATTCCGATAGATTTTTGAATAGTCAACATTATATATATAATTCTAAGAATTTTTCTAATGATTTAAAATGTTTGTTATTCAATTTCTAAATGATTGAATTTGAAAATAAACTTAATGGATAGAAAACTACGAGACCCTATGCAATTTATTGTTACAAGTATAAATGTAATGCTTTTTTGTAATTATCATCATTTGGTAAAACGAATTTTTATTTTTTTTTTTTTTTTTTTTTTTTTTTTTTTTATTTTTGTTATAGACTAATTAAAGGTGATGGTGAAGTTATAGAAGAAATTGTGAGTCGAGATCGTCACAAGCAAATTAATAACCAAGCAACTAGAAGTGATGGAGAATACTTTCAGTCACAATTAAGGAAAAAGTGAAGATACCAATCTTATAATCCCAAGGGCCATCTAAAACTATTTTTCTTAAATTGCACAGTTATTGTCATATATTAAGACAATTAAGTCTTCGATTCTTGTCTGAATAGAGTAAAGTAATATTACTGTATAAGCATGGATTTATTTTGAAAACATACCCTACATAATGAAAATTTAGTATCATTAGCTTTACTGAGAGGTATCAATTACAGTCTAATTTACATTGAGTTTACACAATCTAAATACAAAATAATTTGGGTTTTAAAACAACAATTAATTTAATTTTAACTTTATGGGCCCTGAATAATGAAAACAATAATTAAAATTTTAATTTAAATAAAGTATTATTCATCTCATCTATTCAGTTAAAATGTATGTTTCACCAGTATATAACTTCAGGACATAATAGGGTAAAACAATCAATTTTAATGATATTAACAACAAATTTTCATGATGTTGTTTTATTGACTATGTACAAATATTATACAATTTCATTACATGTTTCTTTTATAATAAATTCTTCAGTTTGAAAATAGTTTACAAAATTTTCTAACTTACTGGCTGAATGAAAGTAAAAACTTTCTTAATGTTAACATTCTAACTGAAATCAGAATTAAAAATTCAAAATTTTTTAAAAATATTTTATAACATCGACATCATACTAAAATTAAAAAATATATATTACAATAATAAACTAATATAATTTACACAATTTTGTACAAATCACACAATAGCTTTTTTGTAATAACTTTCATTAAAATTAAACAATCATCCAATAAATTTTGTAGATAGATTATGTTATATTATCACGATTTGAATTTTAATTTAAGATTTACATTTCTCTGTTCATTAATCTTTATGTACTAGTATTATGCAAATACAACATGTGTTATATTTATAAAAACTTGACTAAAGGAAGATCATTATTATAACAGTAAAAAATAAAATATAAAATAGTAAAAATTTGATGCTGAAGCTCTAGTCTTTTCCACTAATGCTCACTTACAATATTATAATTGTATTTTAAATGTTAATTTTAAACTTCAGAATATGCTAAATTCAATGTTACTAGCACTATCAATAATAATATTTAACAATTGAACGTAATTTGTTTTTTATGCTTATTATATTATATATATTACTTTTAAGACTAAAATTTTGTGCCGAATTATCTCTTTCATACTTTGAATTTCAAAATAAAAATGTTTGGTTTATAATTTTGAGTTTTGATGTTCTGATTAAAAGAAAAGCGTCTGCTAAATCTAAAACAATCGAACGAAATAAGTTGTATGGCCATCCCTATAAATGGGATCGTCGGTTATGAACGCACGACATAAGGGGCAGGACCTCTCACGATCCAACCAAGTTGTAACACAATTTTCACAGAAGATATGTTTGCAGTGAAGACTCACGGGTTTGGAGTATTCTTCATGACAGATGGCACATATACCACCCGAAGCAATGATTTGCTCTTTTGAAGGAGATATACCTATGCTCTGAAATATATTACGATGAGGTGTAGTTTAATATTAATTATAGAATTTTTTATTATAATAATTATATAGAAATAATATGTGCGGTTATGCTATATTTTTAGTGTATAATTAATGTTAATTTATATTTCAAATATTACTAAGCTTACATTGCATACATTAATATTACAACACTAATAAATATTTTGTTTAAAAAAAAAAAAATATAAATATATATATATATACACAATAGTGAATAAGTAATATTTTACTGGTTAGCGTATTTTAATAATACACGAGTATACAAATATGATGAAAAATTTTGAATAGTCAGTTAGTTATTTTATACTTTAAGCAGGTTTGGCTATTAACAAATTTTAAATTATATAATTAATCAATAAAAAATAAATTCATATTATCTATCCCAATTGATTAAAAAAATTAATAGAAATACCAAATTTTATATACTGTATTTTTTTCTAAATAAAATATTACAAGACAATTATTAAAACGTGAAAATCTAATAATGAAATTATGTTCTTAGAAATATTTCTTTATTAATTAAAAGTTTATCCTCTTTTTCTTTTATAATTAGAGATAAATTTATCATATCGACATTTTTGTAAAAACGTATCAATAGTAATTTTTGAATTGTAAATTTACTTAATCGATTAAATATAAATCACAATAATATAAGATTTTATCATTAGGACAAAAATGCTACTTGAATTATAAAATTCTTAAATCTATAATTTTTATTTTTTGTTAAGTTTCATTCATTATTTTAATAACTTTTAATTAAAAAGATTCAAAATTAATTAAGAAAATTACATACCACATTTTGTAATACTTTCCAAACAGTTTCAAAAAAGAATTGTATGTGTGAAATAATATCACCTCCTTTTTGAATTGCATAAATTGTAGAAAGTACAATGACAAGATTTTTATCAGGGCCATCATATATTAGATATAGATACTGTAACCAAGGTTTCAGAGGTGCACCACAACAAAAAAGTTGCGATACAGCTTCTAACATTAAATAATACTTTCCCTGTAATAATATTAACATATTAAGAACAATGATTACAGTAGCAATGTATTATTTAAATTTAACATTTTTAAATATGTAAATATAAATCAAATTTTATATAAATATAAGTTAATTAATAATAATACTTGTACAATATTCTTGACTTACTCTTTTTTGAAAGGCAACTATCTTAACTGGTAAGGTCGTTAATAGAACCTTTACACTGACAGTAATAAGTTTTAAAACATAATCGGTCACTGCTACAGTCCATAAAAGCTGTAAAATTGTCACCGGTGGTGTATATGCGAAGAATATTGGCTCTTTAAAAAGAAAATTAATAAAAATAAAACAACCGATTATATAACAAAAGATTCCCAGGAGTGCTGGGCGACTACGATTTTGCTGCTTTAATATCTCTCTTTTTAAATCATTATTTGCTTGAACAAATGTTACAACTAACAATACGAAATTAAGAATTTCGGCTCCATTGTCATAAACAACTGTAATAAAAAAGTATATTTTATTATGTGTCCATTTTTTTATTTTTAACAAGAATAAATATAATTTACTAACATTTTGTAAATAATATTAGTAGAAATGCAAAATAATTTTCAAAACGTTTATAAACCAATCGCGCCTCGGCACTTATAGTAACAGCGTGGGTAGGATTTAATTCTGAATTATTAGTATTACTGTTATTCTGATTTCCTGAATTCGATGACTCTCGTATATTATTAACAATATTATCCGTAAATGTATGATGCTGATGATTATCGTTTGATGCTTGAACAGTTTCGATGGCCAAATTTAATGGTTGATTATCAATATTAATAACAATGCTATCTGAATGTTCATTTGTTGTAGTTCGTAGTTGAATTTGTCTCTGATGATTTGGAGTAAACCATTCTCGTAAAGATAAAGCTGGTTGCTAATAATGGTAAATATAAATTAATAAATATCGTTTAAATATTTTTGAAAATAGTCTTTAATGATTCTATATGAAATGCTTTAAAAAATATATAATAAAACAATATGGTCACTTTATAATATTTAAAATATATTTACAATATATTTGGAATGCTTAGAGCAATGAAATAACAGTATATACTGCTATTTAATTTATCTTATTATTAATTTTATTTTAATATCTTATGCATTTTTTTATTTATTATATATTTATTAGTATATATTTCTAAATAATATTTAATATGAAGTATTAATTTTCGAGCACGTCATTAAATTTTTGTGATAAATTATTTAGCTGATTAATTACAAGCCACAATATAAGTATTGTTTGATCATAATTTTTTATTCTAATGGTACTAAATTGTGTTAGATTTTTTAAATAACTCTGTCTGATTCAATTGTATTTTATGCCATTGATAAAAATTCTGTTCTTTTAATCATATATTATTGTAACAATTCGACTTGAAATTTATTAATTTACATAAAATAATAAATAATTTAGATAAAAGTGAATCTGGTGGTATACAAAAACAAATAGCTATGCGAATCAATATCTATTGTACGTATCAACGAGAATAATAATGGAATTGCTTGGATAATATACTTATTATTGCATCTTAAAATATTAATAATTTATAAATAGCATCCATTTTATTTATTAATTTATTTTTATGTAATCGAATGATTTCATTTAAAGATATATTAGTTTATAATGAATAATTTTATAAATTGCATTTTTAAAAATTACATTTGCATTTGAAATTTGAAAAATGGAATATTGAAAGCATATTTCATTATTATTTAAAATTCAGTCAAATATGTAAAGAATATTTTCAGCTATGAAAATCGTAGAATTCTTAAAATTATGAGAATTTGGTGTATTTATTAAATAATACAATTTCTTACAAACATATGAGTATTCTTTGTGTACTATAAATATTCATTTTAAAATCAATCACAAAGTATTAATAATTTCATTAAAGATTTTTTACGTTTAATAAAGTATTGTGATGAAATATTTTTACAAATTGTAAATATTATAAGCTAATGAATTTAAATATGCAAAAATATACTAATTTCATTCATTTTTTGCTTGATTCATTTAAAATACATGAAAATAAAATAATACTAAGTAAGTTAAAACGCAATATTTCTCATAAATTATACTAATGTTTGGCAACATTTTTTAATTAATTATTTTCTTCGTGCTTTAACTGAGTATTTCTTGGTCATCAAAAAAAAAAAAAAAGAAATATACCTTTTAATTATTATTTGCTTCTCAAGAATTGTTATCATATCATGATTCTGTTGAACACCTATTCCCAACTGAAGATCATCATTTAATCGGCCTCTTCAAACTCAACGCAAAAGCAAAATTAATTAGCTCGTAAATTTGCTAATTCCAATCGTTATTATATTTCTTTCTATAATAAATGCATCATTGTTATTTACAATGAAAATAATAGAGTTCCATCTCATTTGTATGAAATTGTCCATTTTATTAATACTTTCTATCGATATATTAATTATAAAACAATATTATTTATAAATTGAGAAATTTGCGATTACAATTTATTTTATCTTAGAGGTCAGTGAATTTGTTTATCTTGTATAAAATATTTAATAATATGCTTTAAATATTTTTTATTAAGAGAATAAATCTAAAGTCTCTTATTTTTTTCGTCACTTATTAAAATATTATGATTATCTTAAAATAATATTTTAATTAAATAGATTTAGTTTTTAATCAATTTATTTGATTCTTGTATACCTGATGATTCGTATTTAAGTGTATTATTATTCATAATGTGTACAAACAATCTTAGATATCTATTTAGTTCTATTATTATTCAAGTTCTTCATAAAATATTGTTAAAGCATTATTATAATTACAGATGTTTTAATGCTAAAATTATATCATTCTAACAAAATAGTTTTACTCTTAATTTTAATCTATTGACAAGTTGTTTAATTAAAAAAATCAATCATGCATTATTCTTTTATCATATCTTTAGTAATGATTTTATTGTTAATTTAGAAATTTGTCATTATATGTTTTTGTTTTCATGTTTCATTTAATGTCCTTCTTACATAAAAAATTATTTTGAATGTATTAAAATATTAACAATTAAATTTTAAATATTTTTGATATACTTTAAAGATTTTTAAAGTATTTAATTAAATTCATATTTCTATCAAATACTATATAAATAATATTAATTTACAATGATAAAAATAATATATACATTTTCCTATAATATACTCACTGATCTAGATAAATTTGTAAATGGATTGATTTCTTCTATCATTGAGGAAATATTGCTTGCTATAAATCTTCTGGAACGTTCCATAGAATTAAAATTGAAACCCAATGGTACTGCGATATTCGAGCGGTGAGGTGTATGTGGGTGTGTTACATGGGTCCCATTAGATTGAGTATTTTGATTAACATTAATTCTTGAATCCAATTCCAATTCAGTTCCATTCATATTTATAGTAGTTTCTGCCATTTTAATTTTCTAAAAATAATAAATAGGGAATTAAGCAATTCAAATTAAGTATTAATTAATTGTATAAATCAATACTAATAACATTTTTAAAATGTTCAAGTTATCATCGTAAAATCTTAATTACTTAACAATTCATAATAATTATACAATTTATGAAACATTGATCTAATTACTATTTATATCATAAATTATATATAATATAAAATTCAAATGAAAGATATCAAAATTTCTTTTTTCCTTTCGATAAAAATAAACATAAAATTTATTTAGTTTTTCTAATATTTTCTAATAAAAATTAAATTTTATGGTATATTTTTATCGACCTTTACTTTATACACTTTCATAGATCATCTCTATTGTTGTTCAATAAATAGATAATTCGAAAGCTAATATTAATGCATTTATTAAATTCAAATGTTAATAACAATTAATTTTATTTTAATATAATTATTAAAATTGTATTAATATAATTGTAAATTTTATGTTGTAATTTAAAATTTGACATTAGTTAGTTTAAAAAATTTTTATATAAATATTATATTTTCGTTAAGTTTCGAGTAATTGTAAAAACTATATTAATTTTTATTATTTTACCATTTGCATTAAAATCAAGGAATTATAAAGAAATAAAAAAAATTTCATAAGTAATGATTTTTATGAAATTTTTAATTTACTTGCTACTGTTCTCTCTTTTTGCTATATTAAAGCTTTTAAAAAACATAAAATCATTTTAATTTTATAGTTAATTATATAAATAGTATACGCAATTTACATACCAATTTATTAATGTCAAATTCAAATTAATTACGTGCATATAAAAAATATATATATTTAACATACATATATATATATATATATATATATATATATATCTGTATGCACATATAGTGTGTGTGCGTGCGTGCGTGCGCGCGTATGCGTGACAATATTCCCAAAAATAATAATAACAATATAGTTTACGCAATAAAAAATACATATTGCATAGGACGTTGATAAACAACAGTTAGAAAAAGTGTCAACATAAAATTCTCACTTGTTAAAAAGCCTATTTACGGCAATATTGAAATCTTTCCTGGTCATTTATTTTTTTCTCGAATTAATTTATTTTTCAAACATTAAAGTAATGACAATGGTACATCTAGCACATAAACAAAAACATCTTCATTTCTTCAATCTCTCGTCACTCACATACGTAAACTATATTATCGCTTACTCCTCAAAATGTTAATAAATTAACGACTTGTCGAGGATACTGATAACAACACAATCAAGAGCCATTCGACTTCACGAGGACTGAGTATCGAAGCAGCTGAATCCGGAGTATTTTACGTCGGTATCAGTTGCTAAGGAACTCACCGAGATGCGCCACCGTCGGGATTCAATTTAATATCACTTTTGATTCTTTTTTAATAGATAAATAGCAAAATCATAATTAGATATTGTTCAAAAAATTAATTCCACTAATCCGACTCGTCAGCCAAACGTGCAAAATTAACTTAGAAAAAACCACTAGATGTTGTATGGGAAAATGCGTGGGCAAGTGAAGGGTTATTGCACTAATTCAATAATTAACACATTTAATTTTTACTGCTGTTTATTCCATTTATTTCAATTTATTTTCAAGTTTAGATGATTAATTGTAATGAGATTACAGATAACCTTTATATTTCTTAATAATCTTGTGGCGTTGTGATATACCTTTATTGGAGAACTAAAGGATGATTAATTTCATATTCTCTGGATGCAACTGGTGAGATTATGATTTACTGTGAAAAGAAATAGGTTATAATCTATTGAATATTATCACTTTGGAGGTTATGATCGTTTGTAGTGCTCTGACCGAACACTACAATCTTGGTTGTGTTTCAACTCAACACGTCTTGCAGTTGCCTCTGAATAATGGGCCGTGTAAGTGTCTAAAATAGTGTTTATGCGAAGCTCTGTGCGCCACCAGTGTGACGTCAATAGCTGGTCTTGCCCCCTTAGAGCATGCATGAGAAGCTTCTGTAGTCGGGACTGCCGGCCGGCTGTCCGTTTTCAGAGTAAGTCGTGAGGTAAAGAATCAACACTAACAGTCAGGACTTACTTGCAGTTGTAGTGTGATGCTCCCAGTTCTTACTCACAGACTTGATGAGAACTTCCCTTCCAATAATTACAGCTCTTAACTTCTTTCTTATCTCCTTGCTGAGATGACAAGAATCTCAGTACATATTCTAACAGAGTTTGATGAGATCAACTATAACTGTATATTGAAACACAGTCGCAGAAAGACATTTATAAGACTCGGCTGAACGACTTTGTCTCCGGTCCTTCACCAGAGAATGAGTCGTCACTTTTCTTGTTCAATAAGAATAAAGAAGAAGAATAAGCGGTGGTACGTTACATTGTCCTGCTTACATAGTTCACTGACCCACTTCCATTTGGGACCCCTTCTTTCCGGCATCCAATTAGAGGTTGACCTTGGGCAGCACGATGGATTATTCAAGCCTTCATTTCCACTTCCTTCCGGGCTCAGTCCCGAATATGGTAATCGGAAAAGTGTCGGAAAGTGGGGAGCCTTTATTATTCGTCGCCTCTCCCTGGTCGCCTTTCCCTTCTCTGGGACTTGGCTAGATGAAGGGTCCTTTAGGGCGTGCTCGATTCTCCAATGCGATCGACAAGATGCTACGTAGTTAAGAACAATGCAAGGATTGTCTTAAAAAACCGAGTGCGTACGTACGCCTATTGCTTGTTGTTGCACGTGCAGGGTTTTGCTTTAGCAGTGAAATTTAGGAAATGTTTGTACTCGATAGTTTTCTTATATCTGATACTCTTTCAGAATCTAGGTCTTCTTGGCAGTAAAAAACATAATAGTTTTACTGCACTGGGAAAGCATGAGCACGTTTTTAGATAAGCAAGAATAAGTAAGCTAACTATTCACTCGAGTTTTCCAGATGCGTTGACCGTCTCGAGTGTCCAACGACCGTGGGAAGTCGTGGCAAGAAACTTTTCTCGCAATCTCGAACAGAGTTCAATGGCGTAAAGTCATCTTTTCTTCGTTTTTAAAAAATATTTTACGAGATTGTAAGAAGTCACAAGTTGTGACTCGAACAATTTACTGATTATGTTGTCACGTTTGGTTCGTCAGGCATCTTATTTGAGAAAGAGGGAATTATCGCAACAGCATGAATATTTAATGTTACAATAAATAATATCGAAGTAAAGAAGACGACGACACATAAACGAAATCATTTCGTCAAATAAATAACATTATTGTAATATTATTAAACATTAATCGATTTTTTTCAAACGGAGTACAAAAACATATTGCAACCTCTGATAATGTGAAGAGTCGATACACGATGATTAATGAGAATAAGTATAACTTGACAATGTGTTAAATTTACATCTTTATAAACCAACTTTTTTCTTAGTATAATAAAGAATAATTTCATAATAATAAAAAATTAAGTTTAATAACGTATTATAAAAAAAAAAAAAAAAAAAAAAAAAAATAAAAAAAAAATCAATATACACACATACACATACGCGCGCCGCGCTTTCGTTTATATTTGCATACAAAGTGCGTGCGCGAATATATGTATATATAAAATCAACATATTTATTATCAATATATTTATTAAATAAAAATGTAATAATCTATGTATGAGTATGTGCGTAGGAAATGCATATATATATACATGTCCGTGGCAAAAAGTTCACGGGTAAATTAAATGAAGGTAATGAAAATCTAGTTATATTAAAATACGCGAGTAATCATGGCTTATTATTAATATTGTTGATAGTCTATGATAGATAAACTTAAAAGACATAAAAATGCTAATCTATTAATTTTACATTATTTGCGAGATTAAAGAGTGTATTAGTGCATATTACATTTCAATATTATCTCTTGTGAGCTTGAGTATGTCAGAACGGAGCACAATGGATGTAAATAAAAATTTTTTTTTAGATTAGTTAATGAGGTGTTTGTTGTAATCGGATTACGAGTCAAAATAAGAAGCGGAAAAATACACTCGACGCATTGACAGTTTATTACGTAAGAAAAGTGTAAAAAAAATGGATGCATACAATAATTCTGCGAAAAAAAGATGTATTTCTTTAATATTAAAATTAAGCGCTTAGATATGCAATAAAATTATATGTTTGAATCAATAGAGAATTTGATATTTATTATGTTTCGATATTTTTAATGCAAATAAAATGAGGGAAATTACTTTTTTTTTTTTATATTCTAATTAAAATATATACAATTTCAATTTGAACGATGATCTCAAATCTGTTGGCTAAAAATTATTACTATTACAAGGTCAAATATGCTCTGAAAAATGTATATCTACTTTACTTAATTTAAAGGGAATAGATTAGGATACGTAAAGATTAAGTTTATTCATAAAGATAAAATCACCTGCGTATTTTATGAATGATAGTTAGAAAATTAAATATATGTCTAGTCAGGATGAAAAACTAATATTTATTATTGGATAAGTTAATAAAATAAACAAAAATCTAGGGTCTTTCATAGAATGTGAAATTAAAAATTATTTTATATCATAAAGTACGTTTATGAACTATATATTTCAAAAAACGTGTATAAACTTTTTCTCTCTCGTGTCTCAATGAGGAATAAACTTGAAAGTTTCTGCGTTTCAAAAGAGTTTAATCGAAAGTCAATGAGAATTTATGTTGATATGCAATATCAAAATATCGCCATTTAAACACGAAAATGAATAAATATTTAAAACAGAAATTTAACTACTCAGATATATCAGCAATAAGGCATCTATCAAACAGAAATTGTTTATATTATTTGTAAAAGATACCACTGAAATGTCTACTATGATGATTAGATGAATATTAAATCAAGTTTCCTCACGAATCTATATATATATATATATATATATATATATATATATATATATACCGTATACATACTGTTTATATAAGAAACTAATCAAGCATAAAATTTTACAATGTAAGAGCTATATTAAAATTCAACTAATTAAGATAAAATACGGAATAATGAGTTGCAGGTATTATACAGTTAATTTTTATCAATAATAACGTACATGGCGATATTGCTAAATGCTTAACAATTTCCAAATATTAAAATGAATATTTATATTTTATTCTGCGATGGAAATTTATCAAAGTGTGTGAAAGCTGCATATTTACGCATCAATACCAAAGCGATCAAATTCACATTTTATTACACTAAGTAATATATATATACAAAAGATTTTAATGGAGATTCGAGAAGGAGACGTTTGGATTATTAATTGTGCTTCTTAATACACAATTAAGAAAAAATTGTAAGTAGTTAGCCAAATCGTAAGATTTATTAAATTGATATTGTAATATTAAAGTAGACGTATAAAGTATAAATATAATCAAAAATAATGCAAATATTACGATTTAAAATACTATTTTTGAAGTTTGTTTATATAGAGAGAGTTAAAAATTATATTACACTTACTTTTTGTTAATATAAGAAAAAATTATTTCTACGATTTTATATATTATTAAATAATATAGATTTTTAATACGTGATCGCTAAATTCAATAATAGTGTAAAATATATATATTTTGCCTTCTGCCTTTTGAAATAAAAATATTGCAAAAAATAAGATGTACTCAAGTATAATATACCAAGTCTACTACTATGGTACTCAAAAGTTACAATGGCATAAATACACATTAAAAATTTAATTTAATTTAATTTTACGTAATAACAGATTTCAATTTCACAATAAATTTAATTGATTTAAATTCATATTTGTTAATATGAACAATAATTAAATATTTGTTTTTATAAATATTTCTTTACTAATCACTGTTAATAAATTATTAATTTTACACATGTATAATAATGAATTTAGGCTAAAGTATTACGCCATTGAATCGTTGAAATTTATTAAACTAGAAAATTCGTGTTTTATTTTATAAAATATTTCGTAATAAATGTTTACAAAAATTATTCTATTTATTCAATATTTTAAACGAATGAATGCATTTACCATTATGGTGAAAATTTACATTATGCGTAGATTTATTTATTAGACGGATGATCATTGCATGTATATAGTTTTAATTATTAGTAATAATAATAATAATAATAATAATAATAATAATAATGCCAATACAAATTCACATTGCCTAAACTTTCTTTGTGCTAAGCTTTAATCGTGAAAGCGCTTTCGAGTAATATTTTTGTATAAATAATTTGTATTTGTATCTAAAGTATTAATTAAAATTGTTAATTTTTTTTTACTAGTTGACTTATTACACACACACACACACACACATATATATATATATATATATATATATATATATATATATATGTGTGTGTGTGTGTGTGTGTGTGTGTGTGTGTAATGATAGCAACGGTAGTTTTATAGTTGCGAAACGCGGTGTATTATTTGCAAAGATTTTAATAAAGTTATAAAGAACTATCGAATAAACCAAACCTTTCATTTATCTGCCAATATTATTTTTTATTATCTTAAATGGAAATGTCATGCGCTAACGTTCTTAATGTAGTTCCAACAAAATACTTTTAATCACATACATTGTTTGGAGATGCACATGTATTTTATAATATATCATCGAATAATTATTTATTCTTCAATTTTTTTTCTACAGCTCGAAAATTATATACTCGTTCGTTGCTTCCAATTGTTATGAGTCACAACTCCAACTGATCCGAGACGAGACTTAGCACATCACACATGAAAGTTTGTGAGTAACGATAAAATTATTATAATTAATTATTATACATTATTTTTGTATCATTGCCTGAATATGAAACTGGAAAGAAGAAATTTTGCATAACTGTATTGATATAAATATTGTGTTTATTTATTGTAATCTCTATATATAATTATAAAATATTATATGCACGACACATGACATATGTACAAATATAATTATGCCTTTAATCAAACTTATATGTTAAAATTGTAATCATTATAATTTTATTTAACAACAGATTTAATTAAATATGCATTATTTTATTCTTTTATTGTAGGAATTTGTATATTGGATTTTAATATCATGAATTTAATATATACATTACTGGTGTTAAAAATCGAATTTATTAGAATATTCAAATTAATATTTCATATGTAATATAAATTTGGAAAAATGCAGTAATAACATGAAAATAAAAATTAAAACCGCAATTGGGAAAGAAAAAAAAAGAAGTATTTAAGATTGTATCAAATAATTGAAATTATTAAATTATTTGAGAAAATTTTTTTTAATTATTTCAATTATTGTTTTAAAATATTTTCGCGAAATATTTCGATTTTCAAACGTCAAAATTCAATGAATTAAGCTGGAGTGAATAAGAGCACTTGAAAAACAAATCGATTTCTTTTAAAAATGGCTGAACTTATTTGAAAGAGCTTACCAAGTTAATGTACTTATTTAAACAAATCTACTCCTGCCATAATGTATGTATATATATATATATATATATATATATATATATATATATATATATAAGATAGTTGTTAATATTTTAACTCTCAACGGTTGATATTAATTTTCAGAAAATTTTAACTACAAAGGACTCGATTAGGAGTATCGTAGAAAATGAAAAAATCACTGGTCAGCTGCTTACTTACAGTGCGTCCGCACACCCCCAAATTATATATAATTCTAATGTAAAACGTATAATTCGAAGAATGAGGTGGAATTACAAAGGAAACAAAATACTTATAGGATTATGCAAAAGTTTACACATTTTAGCGTGAAATTAACGTGTTGGTGGATAAGGAGCCAGAAAAATGATACGACGAAATAGGTAAGAACTTGGCCGCATCTCTTCTTTCATGGCTTACGCAATTAACCTTAATTATGGGGTCTTATAAATATACGCTGACTCAAAAGTACAAGCTTATATAGGTCTTGGAGCGGGCAAAACGTTAAGCTTGTATTACATAGTATTTTTAACGCATTATTCTATTGAAATAATGATCTTTTAGTTTTGAGAATTTGAAAAATCATACCTATTTATGATAGATTTTATTTACAATAGATTTATAAATTACATTCAATTCTTACTTAAATTCATTTACTTACTCTAAAGAGAATGCAATACCAGTTGCAATACAATTGCCATTGTAGTAATAAATTTATATGAAAAAAGAATCTCAGTTATTTAATAAATTAAGAGTTATATTGATAAAAATCAATTTCTGGTACTTTTGTTATTAATGAATTTTTACAGAACAAGGCACAAGGTTTACTTTCTTAGTGTGATATTAGGAATTATTCTGTTCTACAATGAATTTCTTGTCTACGAAATTCAGGTATATAAATGGTCTCTACGTAAATGCACGGATTGCGTTGTGGTGTTACTTATAGCCGACCCACAGATTCTTGGATATCAAAATGAAAACTATAAAGGTTCGGCATGGGCCATTTGGGATAGCGATAGGTATGAATATTTACAGCTGATTTTATTTAATATAAAACCAATTGAATTATATCTTTATACGTGTAATAGTAGTAAATGAAGAATATTACTTTAATGTGAAACAAGAAAATTGTATAATAAATTTGATTAATATTAAGGATAATTTTCAATGTTTTAGAATATAGAAATGGTAAATTACAATATCCATAATATGTGATAGATTTTTATTATTATTTTTCTTATGATTTATCTATTCTGAATGTATTTTAATTTTAGATACTTAAAAAATACTTTTTCAAGAGCAATAAGACATACTAAACCGAATGTAATTGTATTTCTCGGTGATTTGATGGATGAAGGGCATATCGCTTCTACAGAAGATTTTGAAAAATATAAAAGAAGATTAGCCAATATTTTTGATACCTCTGACGATATTATGGTAAGAATATAAACTCAATACATCACGATATGACCATAATCATTTGTAATAAGCCTTCAAAAATTTCATTTTAGAAAATTTATTTACCTGGGGATAACGACATTGGAGGAGAAGAAGATATGGTCTCTTCTCATATTCATAACAGATTTAATTTTGCATACACTCAACCGGATACTTTAGTTTACAGTACAGCAACATTTTTTAAGGTCGACGAGAAATATTAAAATAGTCAAATTAGAGAATATAATTTGGACATTCTTCTTAATTTTATATTTATCGTTTGAATAGGTGAATAGACTGACACAATTAATTCCAAGTGCTCCAAAGGATGCATTTTTAAATGATTATGCTGAAAGAAATATTACGAATGTTGTACTTAGTCACATGCCCTTGCTATTTATGCCAGGAACCTTTGTGCAAAATGTACGTAAAGTTTTTTTTTTCTTACTAAATTTAATTAATCAAATATCTTTTGCAAATACTGGATAAATTAACATTTTAGGTTCTTAAAGAATTATCCCCGCAAATTATTTTTACTGCACACGAACATAAAGCAATGCATATAAGTTTAGATACAGCAACGGATCAGCTAAGTAAAATATGGATTCTCCCTCCTCAAGAAACCGCGCTCTATCAATTGAGACTCGATATGGGTGATATACATGAATTACAAGTACCGACGTGCTCTTACAGAATGGGAATGGCTAACGTAGGCTTTGGATTAGCATATATTGGTAAAGTATACTATAAATCATTTTTAGCGTAACTTAAATTAATTAACAGATTCTACAAGATATTCGGTAGGACTTTCAAAGCATTATTTTAAAAGCTATTTAATAGAAAGTTTCAATAAACAAACTCTTATTCTCTTGAGGTATATTATAATTATTAAATATTATTTTATAATCAGTTTATATCAGTTATAATTGTTTTGTTAAAAATACAGGGTTAAATAAAGAAAGGGGCATTTTGTCCTTAAAGCCTTTTAATTAATAATAAGTTTGTAATAAACAGCCACATAAGATGAAAAAAAAAAAACACTATTATAAATAATACAATTGGACATGATAGTTAAGTAATCGTTTATTTGACAGATACTCAAGAGAAAACGCTGGATTTTACAGTATTGTGGTTACCAGACAGATTCTATCAACTTTGGCTATATTTATTTTCGTTAGGCTTAGTAATAATCTTTTCAGTCTTCTTTATTTGTGGAATTTGTAAGAATAATCACATAGCTTATAGCCGTGTGCCTATATAATAATCGCATAGCTTATAGCCATGTGCCTATACTAATATTTATTAAATATGAGAATTTGGACTTTATTCTAAGTTTCAAATAAAATCGAAAATGCAATCTATCAATATTGTACATAAAACGATGAAAGAATCTCATAATTTTAAGCAAACGAATGTACTTGCAATATAAACGGTTACTTATGTAAATGTAGGATATTTTGGAATGCTTAATTTAATATATTTTACAATTGTTCAGTACTTTTTAATTAAACAGTTTACTTATAATTAATTCTTTGAATAAAAATGTTACTTAATTTTTATAGATTTATGAGAAATGTACTAGTGGTAAAATTCTATAATTTATTTTTTTTTATAAAACAAAATTTTGTATAGTAAAATAAAATATTTAACTATTGTAGAGGGCGATTATTTCTTTATAATTAATAATGGTTATTTTTTAATAATTTATATAAAAAGGAAAAAATTTATATTAATTTATTTATTATATAATTTGATCAATGTAATTTGGTCAAATAGTTATTTGCATTATCATCTTTATGATTTTAAGAAAAACGAATTTTAATTTAAAATTTATAAATTTATAATTCTAACATAATCAAATTGAAACATTAAATTATTATAATTATAATATTATAATACAATAAACATATAAATATAAAATCTTTTTGTTATATTTTATAATGGCAAGTACATAATGTAACTTAACTAATAAATATTTTTGTATTGTATTTTAGATAATTATCTCATTATCTACTACGAATTTTTTAGTTTTTAACAACAAATAACTATAAAATAAGTTCATTCTATATTATTGTTGACATTTAAAGTTTTGTGTATATAAATAAATTAACTTTTTATAATATAACACTCGTTGGATTCTTTACTTATAAAGTACTGATAAATACAAAATATGTATCGTTAAAATTCAATTGAGGCAAATTAAAAAAATTATATATTAATTTGTTTTTAATAGCTATACTAATTATGTCAAAATATATAACTATTAATATATTTATTTTAACGAACTTCCTACTTTATAATTTTGTGAAAAAAACTACTTTACAAAATATATATATTATTATATTATAAAATAAAATTGATAAAACATCAGAATTATTAGAATTTAAAAAAAAATCTTATTTTGTATATATCTAGTAGAAAAACGACAGAAATATCTGATAATATTTAACAAATGATTAATAAACATTTAGATTAATATAAACATTTTAAAAGTGAATTATGATGATGATAAACTAGTGCTATTTTCAGAAACTTATATTAAAAAATTTAATATAGTAATTATTACAATATAACTGTCTTTTCTATTATATACTTATTACACCGAAGCAGCTCAAATGTGAAATAAATTACATAAAATATTTTTTTTACAAATATGATTTTGTAAAAAAGTTTCATATTTTAGCAACAGAATTCTTTTTCAAATAAGCATTAAAATAATAGGCAAATACAATCGAGACATTATTAAGAATATATATATATTTAAATTTTTATATTATTTTAAGTTTATTTTTAGACAATTTATATGCGATACATTATTATATAACTTAGCTAAACAGTGGATACATTATGTGAAAATACGATTTCCAAATGTACTGAATTATATAAAATAATAATTATATAAAAATTAAATGTTTTCTAATTCTAGAAAAGTAATTGAAATTAAAAAAAAATTTTATTTTCCTAAATAAATGTAAAGAACTTAGAATGCTAAAATGAACATAGATATATTACAAAATTTTATTTCTTGACCTAAGAATTTAGAGATTAAACGAGTTTTGTAATTGTTCATTAATCAATGTTGAATTGCAAAAAATGTAAAACATATGAAACTATAATAAATATTTCCGAAAATTGTGGAACATTTGACATTAACATTAAAAAGTAAATAATTGTCGAAAAAGGAAAGCGTAAATACAGTTTAAGCTATTAAAAAACACTGAAGTTTTAGTTATTAATAATAAAATAATTTTGGTAAAATATTTAAATTTAAGTTATTAAACTATCGTAATTAGGATGAAAATTAGATATAAAAGACATCGGAACTTTCGCTGTGCCCCCTTACATTCTTTAAAGTTTATAAATTTCTTTTAATAACAAATTCCATTCTTGTCATTACATTCCAACTATACGTAAGATTTTATTAATTATATATTTGTATTGAATATTCGCATTTAAATATCTTGTTATGAAAAAAATATATTAATATATATATATAAATAATATCAAATTTAATAAACGGTCGTTAAAATTGATACTAGTTGTTTGGAATTGTAAGTTCATAATGTTTTTTATTGAAATTTACCATGTATGCAAGCAATGGTGTTTGTAAGCCTCATTTTATATTTCGGTGTGCGGTCATTGCACACGTTAAAATATCCTCGATGACATAATTTTAAGGCGTTTGGTAAAATCTTCAATAAAATCCAATGCGTGCAAATAAGACAATAATGTTGTAAAAAAATTACACTCAAAACGATTGATTTTTCAAATAACATTACAACACGTAGAACAACAAGATATATTATGAATTACGTGCGTTTGATTCTATACTTCTAAAATATTTCTTCAATTATTAAATAAGGAATATGAGCTTTTTTCATAAAATATGAAGCTAATAAATTATAAAGTCGTAATTATTATAAATTCTAATGTTAATAGTATTTAATCGGATGAGGGCGCTTTTGTGCAACTAACGTAAGGCTCGAAGAATTCTTATTATCCTTATAAAATTAAAAAAATAATGTTTGACCATCTTTTTGTGCAAAAAACAACAATATCTCAGTTTTTATTAAAACAATGATTTATTTCTAATTAATGTGCTTGTAATACTGATCGTAATCAAAAGTTTTCTTATTTAATATGTACAGTATATGGCGCTTAAATATTATAAATTGATCTACATTGTTTGAATTATCATTAAAAACAGTTTTGTTATAAATGATATCAGATCTATGTAGAAAAGCGTCATGGGCAAGCAAAAGGCTCTAGAAAGTTTAAATAATTCAAACGATGATTTGAACAATGTATCGATAGGTAAGCCTTCTAATGAATTCTAAAACACTCATCATTCAAGTATTAATAATTTAACCTCAAAGTTTGCGTTCTATAATATTAATTTATTACTTAATTATAACATAATATGTATTTCCTATCTATATAAAAATTTACATAAATTTATTTTTAAAAATGAAATAATATTTATATATGTATTCATAATTAATAAAATTGATTTATTGCCTTTGTCTATTAAAATTTGTATTTTACTTATTTTACAATTAGGAATGCACTAGTATTTTGTTTTAATAAAATAATATTTTTAAGTGTTTAATATACATTTTCTATGAAAATGTATTAATTAAGTACACAATATAGTTTGAATTAATTAAAATTTCTAAAGATTTTGATTATTTACATTAATACTATAATAAAGTATGACATTATTTGCAGTCAATAGCAAGCAAAAGTTTCTTTTTTAAAAAATTTGATGTTAAAAAATTATACAATATTAAAAACTGAAGTATAAAGTAAAGTTTTGGAATATTTAACATTGTATCTGAAAATTAACGATCTTATAACAATTTGTATGTATTTAAACAATTTTTTGAAAATCTAGATACTTTTAAAAATTATGTGGCATTCGTTATTTTGTATATTATATTATAAATCAACATTATCTAAGTTGGAGGATGATCCTGTGGGTAAATCGGGAGGTACAAATTTTCCTATTGGTTTTACTGCTTGTCTTTGTTTCGCTAATTTTCTCATTTCTTGTCTGAGTTTTTCTAAAATAGCATGATTTGGTTGATTAACTGCTGCCTTGCCCTGAAGTAATGTAATTTCTTGTTCTAATTGTTTTTTTTCTTTGAAAGACTTAACACTTCGAGATCCATACAATCTTAGTAATGAACCCCAAGAGTGGACATGTGGATGCAGCAATTGTAATATTGCTTGAGCTGCGCGCTGTTTACCATCCTTTTTATTTCGACATATGACGGTAGCCTCGTGCTTTCCCACTCTCATTGTGAATTCATTACGCTGGTGTTTTAAGGTATTAACAGAATAATTTATGTGCATATCACCAAGCCCAAAGTTCCTTTGTAGACATGTTATCAATATTGCATGTGGTAAAGGTTCAGTGGTTTTTGTACAAAACTCAGCGACTCTTGGATCAGTAATAGAAATTTCATCAAAAAATGATAGATCTGCATCTGAATTGACCCTTGAAGCTTTAATTGTCTGACTAGAATTTGAGGAATTATCTGCTGCAGAGTCACCTGAAATTTTATCCCTCATTTGTGGTATTAATATCTCTAAGGTTTTTCGCGCTGCATTAGCTTTAGCTTGCTTTTTACTGCTTCCAAAACCACTGCCGTATTCCATGTCATTAATGCATACCACTGCAGAATAAGGTGTCGCAGCATTTTCCAATTCTTTAAATTTATAAGTGGGTTGCTTTTTTAAAGCGTGTTGTACATATTCGTGTAAGATACATACATAGCTTTTACCAGAAGGATTCATAATCCAATGTTTTGGTGGTCTACTAGCTGGTTCTTCTTCTTGTGTAGAATTACTACCTGAATAAATTGTGTTATTCACTACTGGAAATGTGATCAATTTTGTACCGTCGGGCAGTGTCGGGCGTTCCAGTTGCTTACGTTGTTTCTTATTTTTTGTAAATTTTCGTCTTTGCGACCAAGACTTAAATCTCATGACCTTAATAGATTTAAAACGAAACAACGATTGACAATAATTTCTAAGATTTTCACCATCAAGAGATTGTGTCGCTCGATTTTCTTGAATTGTTTCAATTTTAGCATTAGGTAAACTGCAAGCCTGTGCAGCCTGCGTTCTTTCTTTATCCTTCTGTTTTTCTTCTTCCTCCTCCTTTAATGCTCTCTTGTATTGCAAACAAGGGATGGCACTTACAGGTACTTCATGTTTTCTTACACTGCCCGGTCCAAGAAAATAAGGTTTTGATAATGTACATACTCTACTCTGTTTGTGCAAATATAAAGGCATACCACTATTATGAGTTACCTAAAATAAATAAAGCAATTTAATTAAGAAATTGGAATATATAGGTTCAAGTTTTACGATATGTAATTTAGTATTTATATCAAAGGTATCAAATAATGTAAATCAAATAATGTATCAGGTAAAAATCTATATGAGATAAGTATAACTGAAAAAAAAATTTAATTATATAATTTTAAAATGCCTAACTGATGTTATAACTACAATTGAAGTTGTAAAATCAATTAAATAGCCGACGTCATAATAAAATAATGTTTTTCTTAACATGTATTATATATTAATTACCTGTACCCAACCTTCTGGCAATACGTCAAAATGATTGTGACCTATTTCATCTAAAACTAGCTTTTCTTTCTCTTCGTAAAGCATATCATTTCTCTTATCAGATCGTTTCCCTTTAAATTCATCTGGTAATCCCTCTTCCAGCATTGCTTCAATTTCATCATCCGGTATATCGGAATCAATACTATCATTTGAACAACCCTCTGAATCCGAGCCATCCTGATTAGTATGACGTTCCAGATCATCTAGTACATCAAACTGTCTTAAATCCTCATCTTCGGATACAACTGGATTTTCATTTTCTTCCTGATGAGAAATTTCAATATTTTCTGAAGCTATTAAATCCGTATGAATATAATTAGGTACTTGATCAAATGTTTTATCAGAATTCATATCCATGGATTTTTCGATTTCTGTGATTTTTTGAACATCTATTTCCATTATACGTCTTTAAATCTATTTTTCTTTTTTCCTGTTATTAATAATCGAGAGCTCGTATTATCCCGCGCCAGTTTTAATTATATAAAGGCCTAAAATCGTTTATAATAAATTTAATACCTAATATTAAAAGTATAGTGGTTTATCATATAGCTATAACTTATATACACATGTTTACAAATTGTAGGTTAGGTTAGATAACTTTTATTTATTTAGAATTTCATAAAGATGGCGCAATAATTGTTTGAATTTAAAATATTTATCTTATAAATGTTTCAATTCAATAACAGCACAATAACTATTTTATATTATAATATATTATTATTAAATTTAAAGGGATTTTATCTTTTAAATATTTAGTACAATGATAGAATGGAAGTCTTATAGGTATACTACTATCAATTCTATATTAAACTTACGTGAAATAAATGATCATATTTTAAATATTATATATATGCATATGTAAACGTATAATTCATATTTCTAGTATTTTATTTTTTTTTATGATAAAATATTAATTGCTTGATTTTCATTTCAGTTAATTATAATTTTTTGGATATGTTTGATTAAAATTTAATATAAGATAACAATGTGCGCGCTAATACATTCTTATGTACTCAACTATAATAAATATACTTTGGATGCAAACATGACTTTATTGTTGCTGCGAATTTATCCTTTCATATCTCAGGTCATTTCACTACATTCAGTTTGTTGCTATCAGTAAATAAATCTTTTAAAAGGTATCTCCAAATCTTTTCTATCCTTAAATATTAAATTGTAATTTGTTATCGATTATTAACAAGTCAATATATGTTTACGAAATATAAAAAAAATTTAACAATGATTTATTTTGATTTTGAAATGCTTACACTAAAACTGAAATATACAATTATTTTATAAGCCGCGTTAATGCTTCTTTTATTGTGACGTATTTGTTATTTAAATCATTTGTATTATTTTTTACTCTACTTATTATATTACAATTGACTACATTTTCTTACATGTTTATTATATATGGATATTTTACATTTAATTATGAAGCGTACGTAATTTTAGTATTCTTTGAAAATCAATATTATTTTGATGTATTGTTCTTTACCTGGAAATCATTTATTCAATAAAAGTACAGGTTATATTGGAAAAAGAATAAAAAAAAAAAAAAAAAACCATCAAAAGTAATTATTAATCGTTGTAACTAAGTTTATAAAATAATTTTAAGCGCTTTAGAATGTATTAATGAAATTATTTGTTAAGATAGTTACCAACGTTTGAGTGTCAACATAATAAAATATATATACGAGTACTGATTTTTAAAACTGGTGTTTAATTTTATATTTTATATAAAATATTTATTTAGTACTTTGAGGATTCTCAATATATACATAATATAAAAAATAGTATTTTAATTTTCATTTGTGTAACGAAATTAAATAATTAATTAGATTGCAAAATACTATGCTAATGACAAATATTAATAATTATACATAACATTATTTAACCGTTTGAAAGTATCAAACGCAGTATTTTTTATTCTTAAACATAATTTTTTAATATCACAATCAATTTAAAGTATTATTCTCTTATGTGTACTATTGACACTTTTCTCTTTTTGGTAACATTGATGAATTTCAATTATCAATGTATATTTTTATATAGTTATTAAAATATCTTTTTTATATAAAATAAAAGCTATGAATGACCACAAAGTAGTAGTCCACAAGTTTATAGCTAATATAGATGTATGAGTTGGAGTTCCAGGGATTATCCATGTAAATGGGAACAGGTCCATTGTCATATAGTGTCCAATATATATTAATATTGGATTAGCTCCTATAAATAAATTAAAGAAAAAAAAAAATTATTTTAATGAAAATGGCAATAAATTTTATAATAGAATATAAATTTACAAAATTTAATATAAGTATGGTTGTAATTATTAAAATTAATTTATACCTGCATATATAAATGGTGCACCACTCCAGATCTTTTTATGATCGATTAAATAATACAAAATGGAGAATAGTAGAAAGGCAAAACTAGATGTGCATAAAACGAAAGACAATGACATCATGTTCTTGTTCACTGGAATTAAACCGCCTTCTTTGCTAAAATTACATAGTATACCAGCTATAAGACCCTAGAAAATAATAATTTTCATAATATCAAGTCACATTAACATATAGTGTACAATAAAATAAAAAATAAAAGAAAATTCCTTTATCTTACCGTTATAATAAACCAAGCTTGCCATCTAATTATTCTCGAACTAGCTTGATAATAAGTAACAAAAATACGACCAGCTTGAACTCCTAAGAATACTATAAATACTGCTGATATTGTATTCATCAAACCTGTAAGAATAATTTAAATAAATATCTTATAGTACATATACAGAAAAAGTAATAAAAATTTTTATAATGCATAAAATACTAATGAATCCATCAAGTTTATTGAAAATAAAATTGAAATTATATTTTTAAAATTCTATCTATATTTCCAAATAAAATGAAATTAACTATAAATAATAGCCGAGCAAAATGCATAATTAATTATTTAACTAATTTAAATAGTATTCAAAATTTTTTAACTTTTATAACACATGTAAATTGTTTAAACTTAAATACAATAAAAAAAAAAAAAAAAAAAAAAGAGTAAATTAGTAAGTAAGTAGTAAATAATTTTTAGTCGGATAAAATTAAAAATTTTAATTTAACAATGTAAATAATTTACATATTTTTTAATTTTAAAAAACAATGCATTTTTAATAATGAAATTTGAAAATTTTTATCTCATTATGACATTCTAACCTTCTGGATCATGTGGATGTACAGGTCCATAAACTTGATTAATTTTATTCATATATATGTGATTTCCAAAAATAAGCCTATCGATGTAGCCAGCAACTCCAGCGGTGCAATTTATATATTCACTGTGATGATGATAGCCTCCTGGGCCAATATAACCAAGTGGACAACCAGGAACACGTAGTAAAAATATTAAGCATGTATGAATTGTCATTATAACAAGTACTACTATCCATTGGGCCCATCTTTCTGAAATATCTTGTAGACAACCAAATTGTCCAAATTGGAAGTTTCTCTGTGCATTTGTAAAGCATGTTTCAATTAAAGAACAAATAAAATATGAAATAGCTAAAAGCTGCAGAACACCAGGAAATCGCAGCTCTGAGAGGGAAGAATTGTGGATAGAATTAATTAGCAATCCAAGAAATATAAGAATGACTGCTCGGCGTAATTGTTTCATAATAAGCCTCGTACGTGAAATTGATAATCTAAGATGCACTCTTATTGAATTTACAATGGTAAATCCCATGGCCCAAGCGAACCTTAAAAATACAATTTTCGTGTATTTTAATATTTGAAATAGATTTGAAATAGAAGTATGTTTGAAAATCTTACCAGGGTAAAACCAAATCTGCAACAGTCAAACCATTCCATGCAGCATGCTTCAAGAAAACATATTTACCACCTCCATTATTTACAAATATCATTAATAAAACTGCAATACTGAAAAATAATTATTACAATTATTATTTCTAGACTTTTTAAAGCAATTGTACTTTATGTATGTTTCATAGTTTCTTGATAGAAATTCTCAATAATTTCTTAATATTTCTTTATAGGTAAAATATTAGTTAAAACATAAATAATTATAATTTGTTTACCCTCTAAAAGTATCTAAAGCTTGCATTCTCATTCCAGTTTTTGATACTGTAAGCATTTGAGGAGGTGATTCTGACTCTTGAAGTCTATCAAAGTCCTGTAAATATCGAAGACATAAGTGAGATTATATTCAATATTTTTAATTCTAATGCAGATACTTACACCTTGTAAATCCATAGGCTTATTTAAATATGTTCTCACTGTATTAATCACTAATTTAGATGTAAATATTATTACAAATGCAAGTATGTATATCATTAATGCAGCAAGTAAAGCTATAACATAAAAGAATATTTTTAAATATATTGTAAAACAGTCGTTTTATTAATAGAAAATAAATATAAAATAAAATACTACACTTACGTAAATAAGGATTCCATGGTTCATATAGGACATAAATAGGAGAACAACTACCATTTGAAGTTATGTTCCAACTATATCGCCCATGTTGTTTGAATGAGTATGTTTCCCTAAAATATAAAATTATTCATATTAGATTATTCTTTTATCTCATTTTCATAAAATATATTATTTTTGTCAATACTTACATACAAGAAAGATACAATTTATCTGTTTGATTATCATTATAATAAAAGCGTGTTGGATATTTGGTAGATATTTGTAAAGTTGTATTACTATTTCCTGGTAAGTCTATTACTGGTTGTCCATCGCACTTATAATAAAAAAGAAAAGTATATAATTAAAACAAATCTAATTCTGTTTTAAATCGTTAGATTTTATTTTTAGATATAGGGCTAACCAAACATACATTAGATATGACATAAATTATGTGTGTGTATATATATATATATATATATATATAAATATTTAAGGATTTAATAAAAGAAAAATTAATTATTTATAATTCAAAGTTTCCTCTTTTCTAAGATTTACTATTTATCAACTATAAAGTCAACGACAATATTAACAAAACTAAAAAATTTACTCGATTACTTAAAATGTAATTAAATATTATTTGTTATAAGATTGATCCAACTTACCAATATGCAGTCGTCGAAAATGCTAAAAAATGTAACAGGATGATCAATTTTATTCACTATACTGAAACATGCTGTGTCAATGGGAAGTAACTTTTTTTCATCGAGACAAGCTCCACTTACATTTTTGTTTAACATTATACTTAATACTTTACAACGCTATCAACGATTACTAATATACTTTGTCTTTATAATAAAAAGCAATAAGTATGCTACTTTATGAATTCATGAAATATTGCAATTTCTATTTCAACGTGGAAATACAAAATTTCTATTCCAAGTATTTAAGTGTACGGCCCGCGTCACTATTATTAGTGGACATTCCCCTCACTACGTTCAACCGAGCAACTTGGAGTATAATATTTTAAAAATTCTACAATTTCGTCGACAGAATGCTGTACACAAATATAGCAGCAATACATGCAATTATCTCGTCAAGCTCAATCTACCGAATGTACGCAATAATTGTTAATTGCGACACAGTTGGCCTCTGGTGGCTGGCTAATAAACTTTTTGAAATATTTTTTATTTATTTAAACAACTTTAATTTCACCAGAAATAGACATCACATCTTTTGTACTAGTAGTATAATTTTTACATAAGCTTCAGAATTCAAACAACAAAATTTGAGTGGAATTATGTAGTGTAAATTTTTTTTATAATGCGCAAAATTTTTGAGAACATATATAATTTTAAGAAAACTGACTTATAAGATGAACTTTGTGAAATAGTTTAGTCGAGATGCTATATAAATCGATTTATTACAAATAATTGTTTACATTTGTTGTTTTTTTCTTTCTTTCTTTCTTTTCTTTTCATTTTTTTTTTTTTTTTTTTTTTTTTTTTTAAATACAAAAAGCAAAACTAAATATACATTCAATTAAGATAATTATTTGTATAGCCTGCTCCATCACATTCTAAAACATAACTATTATCCATATATCTTCTTAAATTGAAAACAATTCCTTTTTTAAACAACATTGTTTCTGCAACTTCCTTAGCTCTTTGCGTATGGGGAGTTATTGGCAGGTTACCAACATTAACTTTCGAATGGCCTTTGGCAAGAGCCATAAAAATAATCATTTGATCCTTTAAAAATAAATCGACGCAAGAATTTGTGGAAATTGGATTTATAAGTTCGCTCGCAGCACTCGACGCTGGATCGGTTACAAATAATCTAGCACTTAAACCAGAGCCGCCGAATATACAGTTTGTCGTTGTTTTGCACATTATATTAATGCCATATCCATTTCCTACTGTGCCATTTCTCGGCTCCTTATATGTTATTATATTAATCGGGGGCATTGGAATATTAAGCTTCGATAGTTCTTTTGCAATAATATCTGTAGTATCGCGTGTCAATTGTTTAGCTTCATTTATTTTTACACAGCCAGCTGCGAACGACCAACCTTTAATATCAACGGGTACTCCAGGATCCAACAATTCGATACCATTTAAATGATGAACGGGTGTCACGTGCAATCGAACCTCTCCTCCTCCATCTGGATAATATCCCCTTCTTATAACATCGAGCTGAAAATCTGCCCCAAATCTCCTAAGGAACGGTCTAAACACATTTTTGAAGTATTCAACCTGTGGCCCCAACGGAACGTTCGTTCCCCCTTTAAGGATATAGGTGGTAGACTTAGATAAGAACAATGCACAAGGCAAGATAATCTGAATTAATAAACAAATGCACCCCGCAGTTTTTATATTGGCAACGTATTCGTCGCTTTTATGTTGAAGAACACCAGGCTTAAAGAGTAAGTATGGCGAGCCCAAGTAAGCACCTGTTACCTCAGCATCGCACATCTCTTTGATTAGATTTACTCCTCTTAAATGCTGCTCCCTGAGTCCTGATTTTGACAAACCTCTTCTTATGTTAATTATTTGAATTGGAATTTTATACAATGCACTCAAACACACCGCAATTCGTACTATTTGTCCACCTCCATTATTAGAATCACCATCTATTTTTACTATTTCTTCTGACATTTTTGCATACAATTAATTCAAAATCTTACAATATCCAATGTTTATACTCTCCCAAACACTTTACCTTAATTAATCAAACATTGGTAATGGCCTATTATACGCTTCACGTGCTAATTCCAATTTGCCATGTAATAAAAATAATCGCGTTAATATTGCTATTACACATCAGCAAAATTTTCAAATATTATTCTCAAAGGTTAATAACTTACTCCCAGGAGCTATAGTTAGTCAGCCGTGCGTGTGAAAACTACAGACGGGCGCATGTGTTGGAGCGAGACGGAGGGAAAAAAATGGGACACTGATAAATAGATCGCATGCGCATCCACACGGACGCACACTTGCGAATCTTGCGCGCATACATTAATGCTCATGTGCATTGCGACAAAGAGTTGAAGAAGATTGTCGTTGAAGCGATTTATAGCGTAACGGAGCAACGCGATTGTTCTACCCTCTAAAATAATTTTAAGACAATAATAAGGGGACGAGGGAGCTTAGATGTAATTTATTTCTGCGCGAGACGACGAGATTGAGCTGTGCTTAGCCGTAGCGATAGATAGAGTTAGGCGAATGCGTGTATCGCAGTCGAATGTTTAGGGAAAAGCATATATTTTCATTATTTAATCTAACTCAATTTGCCTCGGCAAAATAACATTATAATATGCATTACAATTATAAACAAATAGTTTTCTATATCAAAAATTTAAAATTATATTTATACTTACTTTCATCGAATATTCATAATATCGAATTATTACTGATTTACAATTATATAATTGTATGACTGTTATATTGATATATTAATTTCATCATAAATTCTCTCATTGATAAATTAGAAATAATCATTAGGGTCTGTAATTTAAAAAGGACAAATTCATTGTCTTTATTATGCATATTGGGGAAAGACATTTCATTCATTCAAGGTATAGAGGCAAAGAGCCTTTCTCATCAAATTACAAGTGAAATAAACATTATTATTTTACGACTTTTACTCGCTTATAATCTGTAATCGGTAATTCGGTCACTTTTATGCTTTTTATGATATTTGTTGTGATCGACGTTGATCTAACAGTAATAAAGTAGTAAAAATTATTAAATTTTTTTTATTTTACAAAATATACTTAGAAAAAGGTAAATTGATATTTTCTTCTTCTTCTTCTTCTCGTTCTTTATAAATTGCACAAACGTACTCCAATCGATAAGAATTTGTAGACGTCAGTTATAATCTTATAAGCATATAACAAAACATTCGATTAACATTAAAATTAGGCAGAATTTATCTTTTCTATCTTTGAATTGCGGAAAAAAATTATTAAATTATTGAAAAGGGCCAATTTCACTTGAACCTGCAAGTATTACTTTCAAAAGCAAAGATTTAAAAAGTTTCAACATTACATTAGATGTCAAAGTTATGCATTGAAAATCGACAATCGATGCACTTTTTTTTTTTTTAAGCCACAAAACGATTTTAAAGAATTGGAAAATTTATAGATATGGTAAAAGTTACTTTCATAGCTTACGTACATGCAGTATCATAAATGCTTATTAAAAGTTAAAAGAAAATAATGTCGAAGCATCGGCGTATATCATTCGGACATGGATTGTTAATATTTTTTCAAATATTATTAAAAAATATAAATCTATTTTCATGGGAGAAAAAAAAACAAAAAAAAAACAAAAAAAAATCTATTTAAACGAATGATGGACTTATAAGAGTAAAAAAGACTTTGTATGTTATATAATCTTTATTTTAATTCAAAGTTCAATGTATGTTCAATTACAATTGAAAGATGAAATATTTTCATTTGTTCAATTATTTTCATTACATTCTTATTTCTTCCCTATCGGTACCTATCGATACCATTACATTTTCATGCTACAAAATAATAAACTCTCTTAATCATGTGACAATAATTTAATTCAAATACTATAAATAATAGTCCCAAATTATCATTTAATTGGGCCATTTCATGCTTAATTATTTAACACAGTAATTAAATTAATAAATTTTTGTACGATTGAAAAAGAAAAATTATATTTTCAAATTAAAATGATTTTCGTAGAAATTTTTTTCAATTTCATTTATTTGTTATTAACGATACTTTATCCATCGCATTAAAATATTTGAAGTTGCCTATAGGATTTAAATATGAAAAAGTGAACAATATATGACCATCGTATTTAATTAATCCAATTGAACAATTTAATTCTTATAATACTCCATAATTATTAAGATAATTAATTAGATTATTTAAACTGTGAATGATTAATTATATATAGTACCAATTATGAATAAATAAATATTAGAAAAGTATCATCTATCTTTTATAGATTAAAGGCTCTCATTATTACGCAATATTTTGAATTTATGAAAAAGTATGTTATATTTTTTTTTTTTTTTTTTTTTAATATTTTTATGCAAATTAAAGATTTAACTCTTCTTTTTCTATAATATAAAACTATCTCTATCAATGTATGTTGTACAAATAATTGAATAAATTTAATAAAATTGACAAAAAAAAAATTAAATAAAAATTCGTTATTTGTTTTATTTACATCAACAAATCAAGTTTCGTAAATTAATTAAGTTAATTTAATTATTCCTAACTTTTGTCTATACTCTTTTATGTAATATGTTATATATTATTAGGAATGATTTAAAATATTTTCAAGTCATGTTCTTTACTAAAAAGCTCCTCGTATTATGGATGAAGAGTTTTATAAATGAATCGAAGGAATAAGTTTTCTATTTACTAGATCATTAAAATATGTCAGTAAAATATTGTCATTTAAAAATGATTTTGAATGTTATCAATTTGTTAAAATAATTAAACATTGAACCAAGTTCTACTTTCATTAGCTAGTATTAAATGAAGATGAATAAAATTAAAATACTGTCGTAGGTGTAGAGCAAAAAATACAAAATTATAAGCACAATATTTTGATAAAATAAAAATTATCTTTGTGTAATAATAATATTAATAATAATAAACAAAAAAAGAATTAGTTATTATCAAGCTAATTATTGACAGATTAGATAGGTAAGTATATTAATCCTTTATTAATCATCATAAGCATAATAAATAGCATGAAATTTTTAATTATATTTTACAAAATAATAATAATAATATTATTACTCGTTTTATATTAATATAACTTGTAAGCTCATACAAAACGTAAAACGAATTTCAAATAATCTATAATATTACATTAAAATACCATTTATATTGAATATAAACATTTTAAAAATATTTATAAATTATTATCATTGATATTTATATTATTATCAGCTACAAATTAAAATATTTATCGTAAACATTAATGGAAATTATAATATTTTCGATTAGTATTTAGTTTAATCATTTTTATTTTTGATTTATAAATACATAATGCTATAATTACATATTTTTACATGCAATTTTTTTCAAATACTTTTACAAAAATCATTTTTATTAAATTTATTTGAAAAAAAGGCTTATTATCAAATCACTTTTACAATTATAAATAAAACTTTAAAATAAAAGAAAAATATAAACAATTGTAGTTTACATGATCTATAAAACACGTGACACTTTTACAAACTCTTTTACTTTTTTTTGAATTGTAAAATAAAAATTAAATCAAAACGAAAAGAAACTTTGTAAGCCTATGTTTCTTGATAAAATAATAAAATTGTTATTATCAAAGAGAAATTTTTGTATATAAACAATTTTAATAAATTTATTTATTGAAAATTGAAATCAGTAGTGACATTTAAAGAAAAAACGTTTTAATATTTTTCTTAAAAGTTTGAAAATCCATAAAAATCTTCGCAAAAATCAATAATATATTTATTTAGAATTGCAATATAATTTTGGTAGGTATGTTTATATGGTCCGGCTGACATTTTAAGATTTTGCTTTAAAATCTTGTTTTTAAAGTAAAATTTGTATACGGTTTTTTTTAGATTTTTCAAATAATGTACTTTGTTTCATGTTTGCATACGAGTTTTCTAGTTAGGATGCAAATTAGATTGAAGTTTATAAATCTTAAGTAAAATTTAAAATCAATCAATTAATTTTATAGATTTATTTATATTATTTATTATGTAGTTATTATAAATTTATTATTGTACAGAAAATGTTAATAGTTTCTAGTTAAATTTTCTATCCTTTTAATGGAAATAATAGCCAAGATTATAAAATTCAAATAATTTATTTTTCAAAATTGTATATGCATACAATTTTTATAAAATCAATAATCAATGTATTTAGACTCAATTATGTGTTAAGCATATTTTCTTAAAATTATAACATTTGTTTTTCAATGATTAAAATAATAATGAATAAATAGACCATATTTTTATTAAATTTTTTCAATTAGAATGTTAAAGTAAATAAGATTAATAAAATAAAAAGATTAATTTTATATTATAATTATAAAAAAACATTAAATTTAGATATAAATTGAATTGGATATTCATTCTTTTAATTTTAATTAAAAAAGCAGATAATTTTAATAGCAAATATTATATTTTATAATAATTATAATATAAAATTATAACGTCCTTTTACATCTTAAAATACAGGATTTAATTTTATTATCTGTTATATTATAACAGAAATTTTTTAATAGGACTTAATAAATTTTAACATTTAATTCTCTTCTGGCCAAGGTTTTCCAATCCCTTGAGAAGCTCCCATTCTAGATGGATCCTGACTTGGATAATGTATAGCAGTTGGTGTGGTACCTGGTGGGAAAATTGGAGTAACCGGCGGTGCCATTGGAGGAGCAAAGATAAATGGAGGTGGTGGCATCGGTGGTGGAGGAATCATAGGTGGAGGTATTATACCAGGTAGATTGAAGAAATTATTGGCGATATTTTCGGGAGGAGGTGGAAGAGCTCCTGGCAAACCAGGTACTGGTTCTAAGACTTCCCGGACACCTTCTACCGCAGAAATTGCTTGTCGACCCTGAGAACGTCCCCACTTAATAGTTAATCTCCTTCCACCAAGTATCAACTTATTAAATGTTCTTTCAGCAGCTGCTTCTGCTGCATTTCGTTGTGTATACTGAATAAAGGCACATTGTTGCCTTGGAACCATTGTCACCGATCTAATCTCACCATATTGATAGAAATGATCCCTTAATGTTTTTTCGGTTAATATTTCACCTAGATTTCCAACATAGAGCGTTGTTATCAATTTATCTTCCGGTGGATCTAATTTTGGCATCGCAGCCGCCCTTCTCATAAGTTTATCCGCTACTGGATCATTAACACCATAATAACGATCTTTAATATTTTGGTCAGCTAGAGGATCATCGGGATCTGTTGGTTTTTCATGACGGTAAGGGCATTCCTCTCCTCTTTTACATTCTCCTTTAACCCAAAAGGAACATATGTGCGGCCTATTCCTTTTATAATATGGACTCGTTCTAGCAAGTTTCATTAATAAGTCGCTCGCAGCAGCAGATTTTCCAACAGCACCAGCTGGTGTTGTAGCATCTAATTTACTTATTTCACTATCGATATTTTGAACATAATATTCTTTATTTACATCCGAACGTGGTATATCGTCTTTAATTTTCAAAGCAGCATCTCTAACTTGAATCGGTAAACCATATTCCAAATCAAGTAAGCATGTTTGACAAACATTTTTCAGACGACTACAAGTTTGACACACTTCTGTTTTTTTAAAACGCATTCTAGCACCTGGACACCATCGAAATACGGTAAAAGGTCGCATACAAATTTTGCACTCTTTACCATATTTCTCTTTTGTCTAAAATTTGAATAAAAAAATTAATAAACACGATAAACAATTTTTTTAAATACTTATTAACGCATGAAGAATTACCATTCGAATATATGGATTATCCCCTAGGCACGTTTGACATAAAATTGGAAATTCCTAAAAAACATAAAATATTCGTTAGGTTAGTTTTAATATTTTTATAATAGATTTATAAGATATTTATGCGATACTTACAGCATCTTCCCAATTTTGCCTATTATATGTGTTTGTTGTTTTTGACATAGACATGGTGAGTTATTTAATTAGAATCTACGTTTATGAACATTTTACGTATTACCCAACGATAACACATAACGCATTGGTCGCCATTTTTTCTTTTTGGACGCTCCTGCTTTTCTAATGAGATAACCGGACGAATGAACAGGTATTGGTATATTAAAAAAAGGTTAGCTTTTAATCCTTCCGATATGAGGATTGGCGTACGTTAGGTTAGTCCTTAGTGTTAATTCTTGTCTCATTCGACTTTAATAATATATTTGTTTTTGTCAGTTAAGCTAATGTGCAAAGTGTTGCCTTGCATTTTCAATGTTATTTAAAAAATCATGTCATCCACACATTTGTCCAGTGGAAGATTAAATATTGGGTTGATTCAGGAGCAGGCTAGAAAGCAATTACTTTGTCTACTTGAAAAATGCGACGGGCCAAAAGTATATATTTCATTTAAATTACTTTTATCTGACGTTTTACAATCTTTATTTGAATATTTAAATAATTTTAGGCAATTATTTGGGACGAATCCCTTGGTGGTCCTATGGGTCTTGTTGCGAAATATGATATACTTCAAGAGCACGAAGTTATTAAAATGTATCCATTGGTAGGTGGTCGCCTGCCACCTGCCGATGTCACTAATGTAATTTTTATTACCAGGCCACATTTAAATCTTATGGATTTAATCGCCCAAAATATTCATGGGTAATAAATTGCATATTTTTAAGAGTGCGTCGCACTTATTTGCTCCGATGTCAATATAAAAAATACTATTATTGCTTTTAGCGAAGAAGGTAGTAGGCAACGAAAAGAATTTCACATATTTTTTGTACCACGGAAAAGCTTGCTCTGCGAGAAGAAACTTCAAAACCGCGGGGTGTTTGGAAATTTTACTTTAATCGAAGAATTTCCATGTGATCTATTCCCATTCGATAATGATTTAATTTCAATGGAATTAAGTAATGCATATCGTGAATTTCATTTAGAAAATGATCCTACTTGTTTGTATCAAGTTGCACAAGCCATACAGAATATACAAAGACTTTATGGAAAAATTAATAGAGTTACTGGGAAAGGGCCGGCTGCGAGTAAAGTTTGGGATTTAATGCAAAGACTAAGTAGAGAAACGGAAGATCCAAAAGTAAATAATACTCAGATGCCAGTTATCGAACACTTGCTATTACTTGACAGATCGGTGGATTTATTATCTCCTTTAGTGACACAGTTAACTTACGAAGGCTTAATCGATGAGATGTTTGGCATTAATAACAGTAAGTTTAAAATGTATTAATCTTATTTGTATCGATGTAAAACTGCATAAAACTAATGAAGTAAATAATTTTAATTTCATAGCTACAGTAAAATTACCAGCAGAGAAATTTTTAAATTCTGATGAATCGCCAACTGTAATGTCCCTTGAGAAAAAGAAGCAACAGATTATTCTCAATTCAGGAGAAGAATTATTTGCAGAAATTCGGTATTCAATTTTATTACTTTCTTCATCTTTTTTTTTTTTTTTTTCTTTATTTTTTGTTTATACCGCCTTTAAAAGTACTTTTAAAAATCTAAAGTATAAATATATTTTTATTTACATTTAAATGTTTATGTGTTGTATACATTTAATTAAAATCGATCTATTTAGAGATAAGAATTTTAATGGAGTTGGCCCAGTTCTTAGCAGAAAGGTAAAAGTTATTTCATCGCAATTTGATGAGAGACATGGCGATAAAAGTGTACAAGAAATTAAACAATTTGTAGCAAAATTACCTCATATGTTAGCAACTAAACAATCTTTAGTTAAACGTATGCAATTACAGCTAATCATATTATTAATTCATAAACAGTCTGTGATAATTAGAATTTGAAATTATTTAGCTACTATTTCATTTTTAGACACAACGATAGCAGAAATGATTAAAGAAATAAGCGATTCTAATAGTTTTCTGGAAACGTTACAAGCTGAACAGGAACTTTTAAATTGCATTGATACGGATAAGCCAAATCCTTACATTGAAGATTTAATTGCACAACAGGAACCACTTATGAAAGTCCTAAGGCTTTTGTGCATTCAGTCGATTACTAATTCTGGCTTTAAACAAAAACTTCTCGATTATTATAAAAGGGAAATTGTACAAACATATGGTTTTCAGCATTTGCCAACATTATTGAATTTAGAGAAAGTTGGACTTTTAAAGGTTCAACAGTCGGTTAGACAGTATACGGTACTGAGAAAAGCTTTAAGATTGACAGTTGAGGATGAAAGTGAAATTGCACCAAAAGATATAAGTTACGTACATTCAATATATGCTCCTTTAAGTATTAGATTAGCGGAGCAGCTTGTGCAACCTGGAGGCTGGCAAGGATTAAACGATATTTTAGGACTTTTACCAGGACCTGCAATTTCGAATCTTTCTTCCAATTCAGCCTCGTCCGGGAGAAGTAAGAAAACTCATTTTAGTTTGATTTACAAATCTTATAAATATAAGTAAAATCCATCTTAAGATCGATTTCTTACGAAGGAAGGGAAATCATGGCCTTATTATTTTTTGTAATGCGTTGCTAATTATTCAAGGTATATAGTAATTTATATTTAAGAATTTAATATTCTTCACTTTGACCTATTATTATTGGCTGATATAATGGAAAGCTTCAGGGGCATACAATTATTTGTTGATTAGATTCTTGGTAAATAAAATCAGATAGAACCGTTAGATGAATAATTGAACGATATAGTGAAGAGAAAGAAAGAAAAAAAATCGCATATAGAACAATTTTGTATTAAACTCGTACATTGAATGAATTAAAAAAATTAATTTCAGATACCTGTATATTAAAAAATAATTGTCTAAATTTGTAATTATAAATATAGCTCATTATATATTTAATAAACTGCTATAGATTGATGTCATTTTTATTTTTAGGAAATTCGATAACCAGTGAAGATTCGTCGTCGGAACCGCCAAAACTTATACTTGTATTTTTTATTGGAGGTTGTACATATGCAGAAATATCAGCCTTACGATTTCTTTCTCAACAAGAGGATTGTAAATATCATGCATAAAACATGTTATCATAATAAATATAAATAAAAATTAAAGATTGTTAAATTTTCAGTGAACGTTGAATTTGTAATAGGAACAACCAAATTAATCAATGGAACTACTTTCCTTACTTCATTAACGGCAGATATGTTATCGAATTAATATTTAATTAACGTATTTTTATAATACAATAGCAAATTAATTTAGTTGCAATTACACTTGATATGTTCTTTATTAAAAAAAAAAAAAAAGAAGAATAATAAAAATATAGATAATAAAGTATCAGCGATGAAATAAAATATTAATAATAAACGCATTCATGAAGCGTTTGAAAAAATGAAATAATCAGAATATAATCATAAAATTGTACAGAAAATAAATGTACTATTAATGAAGGGGATTGCATTGGATATTGTAAATTGTAATTATAATTTGAAGCCAATAATGTATTGTAAAAAAGATTATTCTTTGTTAACAGATTTAATTAATTTAAGATTCAAATATCTAAAATTATAAATTATTTAAAATGTTATTATATTATAGTTATTAATAATTATTATTTACTGCATGATTATTTTTTATAATTATTTGTAAGATCTTAAATGTGAAACATGAGAAAAGTATCGTAATAAAAAATAATGTGTATTTATTGATTGAATTGAAGATGTTTTTATTTTCCAAATGAAAGCACCGATTCTAGGTATATTGCGCGGACTCTTTCCAATGAAATTTTTATTCGAATATTATTAGTTTCAAGCAAATTGAGAAAAATAAATTTTATATTGTTTTATTGTTTAGAAAATAATGGCGTTAAGGAAGAGAAATATATCAAGCAACTAAAATATCTGAAAAACAGAGCTTGAATCGTTAAAAATGTGCTTTTTAAACGAGAAAAACACGAAAAAAAAAACAACGAAATATTATCTTCGTTTATTGCGAGTGTAATGATTAAATCTTAATACTATCGTTGTGAAACAATGTGGCTGAGTACGGGACGGCATTTGTTTTATTTTTATTTTCTTCCATGTAATATCCAATGTCAACGTTAAAATCTTCGATATTACTTTCAATCTTACTCCAAGATCATCACTATATATATATATATAGATTATGTCGATAATTTTTTTCCTTTTCATTCATAACGGATTCCATTTAATAATAATAATAAAATTTCGGCTCATCTAATCTATCGAATGCTTAATGCATAGATACGCACGAAGGATTAGACGCGACGTCCACGAGATGCATATTCTCGCTCTCCTTGGTTTTCATAAATTTTCATCTGAAATTCATCTGAACTTTAAAATAATCAGCTGATTAAGTAAAGTAACCCCGACCGCTAAAGGAAGCTATTTGTATTATTGGATAAGTGCATTTAAAATGTCGCGCACTTATGTTTTCATAATAACGAGAGAGTCCAACACGTTAAGTGCATAAGGTGTTCTGAAAAACTTATGTTATTACATTATTAAGCCGCAGCTTGTGTCGCAGCAACACAACGCCATACCAATGACAATCTATATTGACAAGTCTATGGATTAATCGATATAAATATGATGATTGTTTTGCTGTAATAATTGTGGCGCCAATTTGTCAATTTTTATATAAAAAGGCCATTTTTATGGATAAATCGTCGTAAAAATGCCGGCCTTCCTCAAACACATTGAGGTAGAGAACTTCAAGTCTTATAAAGGTAGACTGGTTATTGGACCTCTGAAATCATTCACCGCTGTAATCGGTCCAAATGGATCCGGTAGGTTATGTTTGTGTTTGTTAATAAAATTCATTAATTCTAATCGTTAAAGCCATAAGGACATTATGTTACTTTATATTGTTAGGAAAATCAAATTTTATGGATGCCATCAGTTTTGTTATGGGCGAGAAGACCAGCAGTTTACGAGTCAAACGATTTAACGAACTCATACATGGGGCATCGATTGGAATGCCCGTTGCACGAAGGTAGATTTTTATTTCATTATAAAAGGTGCATTGGCGAAGAAATAATAAATGGCCTGCTACCGTTAAGGATTGAATTTGAAAAATTAAGATTTTACAAACTTATCTCATCTTAATTTATGGAAGCGCAAGAAAGGGATATTTCATACGTAATTTATAAATACAAAGCGCTATAATTTTATATATGCTTTATTGGTAAACTTAATAATAGTGGGGCTTTAATATAATAATCTTAATAATAAATGTGACATTCTCAAGAATGTTGTGCAGAATGTATTAATTATATCTATTATCTATTAATTTCTATATTATGTTCTATATAAATGTGAAATATTACGACGCTTGTAATTTGACGAGCATTTACAAAATAGTAAATTACAAAAAAATACTTTTTAGTGCATCGGTGACTGCGGTTTTTGAATTAGAAGATGCTTCGGAAAAAAGTTTTATGCGCTCTGTTCATGGCTCGTCGTCGGAACATCGTATAAATGGAAGTGTAAGTTATTAGTTATTCTATACATTGTTTTTATTTAGATAGTTATTATATTTAATATTAATTTGTATGAATTCAAATAATGGCATAGTTAATTATATTTTACAATTTTTACTTATAATTGAAGTATCTATGAATAAACGAATAAATAAATGAATTCCACGATTGAGAATTTTCGTCGATTTTTTACAACTGTTTTAAAGACATTTAAAAAGTCAATCTATATTTTCCATTTGAAATACAATTATAAAAACAATTTGTCTGATCCGGCAACCTTTTTTAATGATACTACTGATGAATATTAATTTTTTAGGTGGTTACGAGTCAAGTTTACTTAAATGAATTAGAGCAATTAGGAATAAATGTTAAAGCAAAAAATTTCCTAGTTTTTCAAGGTGCTGTTGAATCAATAGCCATGAAAAATCCTAAAGAAAGAACTGCACTTTTTGAAGAAATAAGTAATTCTGGCGCTTTGAAGGCGGAATACGAACGGTTAAAGACGGAAATGCTAAGAGCCGAAGAAGAAACACAATTCTCTTATCAAAAGAAAAAAGGAATAGCCGCAGAGAGAAAGGAGGCCAAACTTGAAAAAGAAGAAGCAGAAAAGTATCAACGTTTAAAGGAAGAATATGTAGAAAAACAGGTGGAGCTGCAACTATTTCGCCTTTTTCATAATGAAAAAGAAATAGAGAACTTTGAAGTATCATTAAAGAAGAAACAGCATGAAATTGAAAAGCAAGAAAAGAAACGCGAGAAAGCTGATGAAGTATTGAAAGAGAAGAAAAAGGAATCTGGTAAATTGGGACGTGACTTGGCCAAAATTGAGCAAGATATACGCGAAGTAGAAGTTGAAATTACAAAGAAACGACCCGCCTTCATTAAAGCAAAGGAGCGTGTTGCTCACATGCAAAAAAAATGTGAATCGGCAAAAAAATCATTGGCACAATCTCGCGTTGCCGACGAAGCTCATAAAAAGGATATAAATGAGCTTTTAGAGGAGCTTCGTCAAGTCGAGGAAACTAAATCGACGTACGAAGCTGGTATTGCAGCACAGTCCCAATCTCAAGGTCGTGATGTTCAATTAGAAGATGAGCAGGTAAAAGAATACAATAGCTTGAAGGAGGAAGCTGGTAAGCAATCGGCAAGATATACTCAAATGCTTGATTCAATCAATCGAGAGCAAAAGTCTGACCAGGACAGATTAGATAATGAAGGACGGAAGAAAACTGAAATAGAAAATAAAATTAAACAAAAAGAGCATATGCTCGAAGAGGCTACAAAACGTATTGAAAAATTAGAGGAGCACATTCGTACTTCGGAAGCTGCATTAGAAGATCAGAAAAAGTTACGCGTAGATTTGCAAAGTGATGTTGGTAGTTCAAAAGATAAGATTCAAGAACTACAACGAGAGCTAGAAAATATTTCAGAACAGTTAGGAGATGCTAAAGTCGATAAGCATGAAGTATCAAGAACAAAAAAGAAAACAGAAATTGTTGAAAATTTCAAAAGGCTGTTTCCTGGAGTGGTAAGTTTGGAAATATTATTAACTTTCCGAAATTTCTTTTATAATCCTTTACAATCACTTTAAACATTTTTTATTGCATTTCTTTATTAATTTGTGTTTATTCATCAGTAATTTAACTAAATAGTGAAATAATTAGTGAATCTCTAATTCTTAGATAATGTGAACTAACAAGTCATAAATTACCTTATAAATGCATTTTTACACTTGTACATATATTTATTTATTTATTGCCTATTTGTTGCTAATTTATTTTTCCTTATTAATTATTAAGTAAATAAGTCAATATTAAAAAATTTGTTTATTTACGCAATTCGTATGTTACTTTAGTACGATCGGATGTATAATATGTGCGAGCCAATTCACAAAAGATATAATGTCGCTATTACTAAAGTCCTTGGGAAGTATATGGAAGCTATTGTTGTGGATACAGAAAAAACTGCAAGACAATGTATTCAGTATCTGAAAGAACAGTATCTTGAACCTGAAACATTTTTGCCTTTAGATTATATACAAGCCAAGCCATTGAAAGAGCGTCTCAGGTAACTTTATCCGTCTTCTTTTATGCTCTTTTGTGCTTTAAAGTAAAAAGTAATTGATAATGGAATTACATTGCAACTCGTATACTGTGAAAGTAACAATTCTCAATACTTTTGTTTCATAGGAATATACAAGAACCAAAAAATGTAAAGTTATTGTACGATGTGTTGCGTTTCTCTCCGAAGGATATCGATCGAGCAGTTTTATTTGCAACAAATAATGCTTTAGTCTGCGAAACTCCCGAAGATGCTAATAAAGTAGCTTATGAAATGGATAAGAAAGCGAGATACGATGCAAGTATTTTTTTTAAGCGATATAGTGCAATTATTGCGAATGCTTTTAAAATAAATCGATTGTATATTTAAAATGTTTTTAGTGCGTGGCTCTTGATGGAACGTTTTATCAAAAAGCAGGTATTATTTCCGGCGGTAGCTTGGATTTAGCCAAAAAAGCCAAGAGATGGGATGAAAAACAAATGTCTCAATTGAAAGCTCAAAAGGTAAATAAAATATTCTGATGTAATTACACAAAATTTTCACTGTATTCATAAGATTTCCTTTTAATTGTACAGGAAAAATTGACGGAGGAACTTAGAGAAGCCTTAAAGAAATCACGGAAAGAGTCAGAATTAAATACCATAGAATCACAGATTCGTGGTTTAGAAACCAGATTAAAATATAATAAAAGTGATTTAACGGCTACGGTAATATTTAAAAAAAAAAAGTTTTTTTATTTTATTTTTTTTTTTTAATTTTATTGTGACATAGATGTTTCTAAATAAATGTATTACTTTTAGAAGAAACAAATCGCCGAGTTAAAAGGAGAATTGGAGAAGCTGCAAAGCGAACTTGACAAATTTGGAGTAAATTGATAAATTTAACTATTTTTATTTGGTAAATATTTCAATAATTCTAACGTAAATTATTCCTTTAATTAGCCAACGATATCAGCTATTGAGAAAACGATGGCCGAACGCGATCAAGAAATTCAAAATATCAAAGAGAAAATGAATAATGTCGAAGATGACGTTTTTACCAGCTTCTGTGAATCTATAGGCATTTCAAATATTCGTCAATACGAAGAGCGAGAATTAAGGTATGTTTAATAATTATTAAATATACGCTTTTTATAAGCTAATAATTGATTATTGATTATTGATTATTGATTATTGACATTTTAGATCACAAGAAGAGAGAGCCAAAAAGAGAATGGAATTTGAAAACCAGTGTAATCGTATTCAAAATCAATTAGACTTTGAAAAGCAACGTGATACCGAAAGTATGTTTCCTCTATTTTATAAATGATCTGTAATTAAATTAAGATTTAAATTAATTAAATTCAGGCAATGTCTTGAGGTGGGAGCGCGCAGTTCAAGATGCCGAGGACAAATTAGAATCCGCCAAACAGACAGAAAAGAATCAAAAGGCCGAAATTGAGAATGATGAGACGCAAATGGAACAGCTCAAGTCAGCTCGAAATGCTAAGAAAATGGAAGTGGATCAAAAAGACGAAGAGATAGGAAAATGTAGGCGCGAAGTCGGCGCTATAGCAAAAGATATTCAGGCAGCTAATAAGCAACTTAATTCCATAGAAAATAAAATTGAGCAACGTAAAAGCGAACGTCATGCGATTTTAATGCACTGCAAGGTGACAATATTACATAATTTGTAGAATTATAGATAAAATTTTAAAGCTTGATTTATTTGAATAAATAACTTTAAACTCGATAAATATAACATTAAAAAGTCTGTATTTTTAACATTATATTAATTGAAATTATTCATATTCTAATTTTTTTTTTAAATTATAATCAATCATTATGAACCATTGAGTATGGAATTCATAAATAATTAGCGCATAATAGCTTACTAATAATTAAAGTAATAATTATATGTTTTAGATGGAAGATATTGCTATTCCAATGCTTCATGGAAATATGGAAGACATTGCTGGAGATGCGAGTACAGTTATAAATGAAACAAACAGTGACACTAGTGTTAGTACACAGAAGCAATATGAAAGAGAAAGTCGCATAACAATAGATTATTCATCATTGCCAGATAATTTGAAGGATATTGATGAAGAGGACCTAAAGAAAACGACAGATAAATTAACAAAAGTTATCAATGAATTACAAAATACTATACAGCGCATTCAAGCTCCAAATATGAAGGCAATTCAAAAATTATATCTAGCGAAAGAGAAGCTACAAGAAACCAATGAAGAATTTGAGCAGTTACGTAAGAAAGCCAAGAAGGCAAAAACACAATTTGAAAAAGTTAAAAAAGAGAGATATGATAGGTTTACAACTTGTTTTGAACACGTTTCGAATGAAATCGATCCAATTTACAAGGTATAAACAAAAATTTATATCTATATTTTTAACGTTTGTCGAAAATTTTTTTTAATTTAAAATATTATACTGTTATTTTTCATTATAATAATTATTTTATAAAACATTTTATAAGACATAAATATTAATGGATAATATGTTTTTTAAATGTTTAAATGTTTAAAGCTGATTTTTGTAAAGCAGTATTTACTTAGTTATAATTAATTAAATATTTCTTCAAAAAAAAAGAAAAGATTTTCCTCTTCTACAATACGATAATCTAAATATATGTTTGAGCCACATTGTTATGTATTTAAACATATGATATATGTTTATTTGTATGTATGTCTTTAATAATATAAAATAAAATTCTATCTGAAAAAGAAGACAATATATAGTTAACGCAAACTCAGCTATTTGTTTGTTTGTTGTTAATATATATATATCATTTTATTTTTTATACAACAAATATATTTAATAGAAATAATCGATCATTTATGTAATCAATTCATTGTTTTATATGTTGTTCTATGGTAGAGTTTAGCAAAAAATCAATCTGCTCAAGCCTTCCTTGGACCGGAAAATCCTGAAGAGCCTTACTTGGATGGTATTAATTATAATTGTGTTGCACCTGGAAAACGATTTCAACCAATGTCCAATCTTTCTGGAGGTGAAAAAACTGTAGCAGCACTTGCTTTGTTATTTGCAATACACAGGTAAGACATAAAGAGATTGCTTTACGATGCAAAAATTTTAACAAGTACAATGTTTACACAATGTCTGTATTATACGATACAAGTTTATCCGGTTATTTAATTCATTTTGTCAATTTTAGTTATCAACCAGCTCCATTTTTTGTTTTGGATGAGATTGATGCTGCTTTGGACAATACAAATATTGGAAAAGTTGCTAGTTATATTAGAGATAAAACAAATTCTCTTCAGACTATTGTTATATCACTGAAGGAAGAATTTTATTCGCATGCGGATGCACTTATCGGAATTTGCCCTGATGTAAGTAGAGAAACTTTTTTATATACATACATATATATTAATGATGTGTATCAATATCAATATTTACAATAATTTTCTTTACAGGTTGGAGAATGCTTAGAAAGTAAAGTCTTAACTCTAGACTTGACCACATTCCCAACGCATGTTAGTTAGTGTGTATATTCTGAAAAACATTCAACAAACATTTTTCCCTTATATTGACCTTAAAATATTAAAATTTTGACAATGCGATTTATATATATATGTAGATGATAAATATGTTTTATTAAATTAAAATAATAGAAAGGAAATTATTTATTACATTATAAGAAGATATCATAAGGACAAGAATTGTTCGAGAATTTTCTAAGTTATTTTTACAAAGTGGATTATGAGAATTCACTTATATATTAGGACATCAAATTAAAATTCGTTATAAGTATATAATTTAACATTGTATAATGTAACTAATAAATTTATAAATCATTTTTATACATTGGTAATTTATCAAATTGAACAATATTCATTTATAGTTCAAATCAATTAATATTATGAAAAATGTCAATCTCATTTTGAACACTTAATTTCAAAAATACGTGAACTTGTTAATAATTATAGAATCATTCAAAATTTCAACTAAAATGTATAAAAACTATAAATCTCATATAAATAAATAAAAAGTATTTCGCTAAAATAAAGTATATTTTTATATTTATAAAGATTTTAGAATTATTTAAAATGAAATATGTATGGTATGTTGGAGAAGAATAACCGTTTAATATTAAGTATTTACTGTCTTAATGTTAAAGTTATCTTATAAAGTTAACGGACTATGTGTGTTCCTTTCTTACTTATCGCAATACTTTTAAAAATATTAATTAAACTTTTTTCCGCAAGAGGTCGAGCGTGTTTTTATTCATTAAAAGCTTTAAAAAACTTAATTACATCGCATTACATTCGAATCCTTTGCCACTCTCTACCTTCTCTTGGGAGAAAAATAAAGTAAAATTTTTTTCAAAAAAGTCATCAGAAAGTATTCTATTCAAAGTGCAAATTATGCCGAATTTCTCGCGATTAGAATTAAAGAACTTTAAGAGCTATAAGGATGAGGTTTGTATTAATTGGATGCAATTTTCTTCAATTATTGGACCAAATGGAGCAGGTAATATATTTTCAGTTTTTTTTTTTTTTTAATTTTTATTACTTATATTTATATTGTTCGGTCTTTTATAAAGTTTTTCACGTAGTTATTATTATTTCTAACAGAGTTGATCGATACATTTGTTTATTCTCGAAGTAATGTATGTAATGTCAATAAATTAATTTAATTGTTTTAATATCCTTATAAATCACAATAAATTTTTCCATTATAAAATAAAATACTAAAATTTTGTATAATTTTATAATAATTCGTAGGAGATTCGTAGATGATTATTGGTAAAAGAGATTTTATGCCCATAATAACGAATGTTATAATGCTATAATGAAGACTTTATTCCAAAAACTCTCGTAGCCGTAGAATTCAAAGAATTTTATCATACAAATTTCTTATGCGTTCCAAAATACAGCTTTTTCTCGCTATAAAGTACGCCCGGCCACTTGAGTATGGAGAATTCCAGCCATTATATCCTAATTTACATTAATTTATTTAATTATAGTGTGTTATTTAATAAATGTAATCTCAGAATAATATATCCATTAATTTCTTATTGAATAATAACAAAAGTCCGAGCCGAAAAATTCTTTTATGCATATGAAAACGTTTCAACTTTATTTTTATTCCATTTGCAGTTGATTAATTGAAACATTATAGGACTGGTTTAAACTTTTTATTTCCATTTTTATAATTAACGAGGCTCATTCGTTATATTGCATTTAGTTAATGTATGATTTTAAAAACTATTTATTTGATGTAATTGAAAATTTTTATCTAATATTTATATCTAATAAATATATAACTGTTTATACCTATTGGTAAACAATAAATTAGATAATTTGTAATAAAAAGGAAACGATTACATATATTATATATATATATATATAATGTATATAAAAAAAATTATAAAGTAAATGTTTAAACGATCATTTTATATTTATATACAAGATTCTTAAATGAATATGTTTAAATATTGTTTAATGTTAGACTAAAGTAGTCTAAAAAATTAATGGTTGATCTTAATTTTTAGGAAAATCTTCTATAGTAGATGCAATTGAATTTGCATTTTGTTTTCCACGTTATGATAAAATATCAATTCAGCGTCTTAAGGAGGATATCTGTAACAAATCCAATATTAAAGATAATGATAATTCAAGGTACAATAATAATTTCGAACATATTAATAAAATTATAAAAAAATATTTAACCGTGAAATTAATAAAATCATTCATCTATTTGCTTCCTTAATAGTTTAGCAACAATTATCATTTAATTATTTTATTTATTCGTATTATCTATATTTTTTATTAAAATGAATTTATTTTGTAAATTACTCGTAAATACTTGTAAATCAAAGGTAATTTTGCAATACTACAAGCTGGTCAAGTGTTTTTAATGAATTCAATAGAATTTCATTATTTGTAACTGAATTTACAGATTTATATCTACGATCGTCTCACATTTTATCAATACTTTAATAAGTCAGTTGGCTGCGAATAAAAATCATAAGCCATGTTTATTTAATTTATTCTAATGGAATTTCTTTATGCAAATATTTTTGAAAATTTGATATTAGATTAAAACATTCTGTTGCATTTTAAAATTTTTTTACAGCACTTTACACAATTTTAATAGAAATTTTGTATTAATTTTTTAAGTATAGTTGCTTACATATTGATGAATAAATTATATAATAGAAGTCAGAGAAATTTGATATATATTTGTTTACAGTACAGTAAAAATATTATTTTATTTATTTTACTCTAGTTTTAAATTATATAACTTTGTGTTTCATGAATTAAAAACAAATTTTTTATTCAAATAATGTATGCATTATGTGAATACTGACAATAAGAATGATGACTTAATAAAAAAGCGAAAGAAAAAAAATATATTTTTAAAATAACGAATGCAATATTGCATATTCATAATAAATTTTAAATATTGCATTTTTAATTTTTGCTTAATCAAAAATCATTAGGTGAGTAAAATTTTAATAATTATCGAATTATCCGATTACAAAATAAAGAGCTGTTCAAGCGTTTTAGTTTTAAATAATTAATTTTCACTTAAGATGGCATTTCCAATTTCATCTATAATGTACGTTATTCGCAGTACTTGATCACAATTTGTTTAATTGTCCAAGTTTTTGTGTTCATTGTAATTTAATATTATAATAAATTATGAAAAAATTATAAATAAATGTTTAAAAGTTTCCAATATTAAAAACTATGATAAACGTAATGTTTATATTATTATTTTATATTCTTTAGAACTTGGGTTAGATTGACACTTAATTTCAATGGAAAGGAAATAGTTTTTCAACGATCAGTTGATTACAATGACGCAATTTATATATACTCAATTAATAATACAGTAAGTGGATTAAATGGAATTTTGTTATATTATTTTTAATTATAAGAAACTTCAATCTATTTATTCATTAAACATAGGATGTAAATAGAAAGGATTACAAAGCACGAATGCTAGAATGTAATATAAATATTAAGGCAAATAATTTCTTGGTTCAACAAAATTCCATAGAAAATATTGCAATGAAAGGTACAAAAGAAAGATGTGAATTTTTTGAACACATATGTAATTCTATCGCCTACAAGGGTGAATATACGAGGTGAATTAATTATTTGTATGCTAATGAATATTTTTCATTCTATTATAAGATTATTCAATAAAATTTATTATAAGTTTAAGTAAAAAATTGCACCGAGCTCATCTTGACATAGAACAATTAAAAAAAGATCTAAACTTTCAATATAAATTAAAGAAGGAACTTTTAAAAACATCGAAAGAAACAGAAAAGTATGATAAATTACAGAGGGAATTAGTACGTGTGAATTATATTTCTCTCTTTTCAATGTGAATAATTATGTTTTAAAGAATAACATTTTAAATTATAGACTAAAACTGAATTTGATTATTATTTATTAAAATTGTATCAAATTGATAAAACTATCGATCAGTTTATTGAGAAACAAAACGAAGCCAAAATAAGCATAAATATTGCAGAAAAAATAAGACAATCTAAAGAAGATGCTTTAGTTATACTTAAAAATCAACTTAATAATCAAGAATCTTATCTAAAAAAAGTCGATGACGATTGTGAAAATGTTCGAGTTAAATTGTCAAAGTATTCATCAAAAATGTTAGAGCTTATACAAAAAAATTCACATTGTGAGGATAGTATAAAAAAAATTGAAAGAAATTTAAGTAAGGCCAAAAATATTGATAAAGCTCACGAAGAAAATATAAAAGACCTTAAACGCCAATATCACGATATTCAACAAAGTAAAAAAAATTATGAAAAATCTGAATCTCAGCACTGTTCACTTAAACTAAAAGACGAACAGGTAATTTATATTTTTCAATAACATTTTAATTTTATATAAAGTTTCATCAATTGTTTCTTTTTATGAAAAAAATTAAAAAAAAAAAAAAAAAAAAACGAAAGATTATCATAAAAAAGGCCGATTACTTTAACAATAATTATAATGATTATTTTAATAATATAAATAATAGGGTGTGTATTTTAAAGACTATACAAACATTTATTTTTCTTATGTATGAAAATTCTATTTGATATTATGAAATATTTAAAAATAGTTCATAAACTTAAATTACCAATGAATAAAATTTTATTATTGAATAAATTTTATTAATTGATGTACATTTAATTTATATTATATATTATTTTCATATGTCAATCAATTAATAAATAATTATTATATAAGAGTCTAAAAAATGAAATTTAATAACATAATAATTAAAAAAAAAGTATACATCACTGTAATAGTTAAAGCACTATACCCGCAATCAAATATAAATTGTTTTTAAAAATATAATTTTTGTACATATAATTTTCTACGTATATCAAATAATTAAATTGGTGTTATAATTTATATTATTTAATAATAATAATAATAATAATAACAACAACAACAACAACAACGTAAAATGGTGCTTTATTCATAACTTTTATTAATTTAGTGCTTTAATTTAACATTTTTAATTTAAATAATATTAATACTACTCGCCTATGCACATACATTTACGTACATATTATATTTGTGTATATTATATATTACTTACTCTTTAGTATGAAGAATATCTTAAATTAAAATCAGAAGCTCAAGAGAAATTTGCCAAACGAGTTGTGCTTTTTTATTCCATTGAAAGAGAACGGGATTCAATAAAAACTAGCATCGATGCAATTGATTACGAAACTAGGATAAAATTACTTTCCGAACAAATAAAGAGAGAAAAATCACAAATTAATCAAATAAATTTAGATATAAATGCGATTGATGAAAAAATAAAAGATAAAGAAATAATGGAAAATCAAATTGAAATAAGGAATAATAGTGTAGAAAAAGAATTAGAAGATTTGATAAAGGAAGTGAAGTATTTGAGCGTAGATATAAGCAGTTTGGAAAAAGATATTTGCGATAGTAATATATCGAAAGAAGAGAATAGAAAATTTAAAAGGAAAACAGATGTATTATTAAAATTAAAAGCTAATTTTCCAGGAGTTGTAAGTTTTATATTTTACTTTCAACAAAATTATTTTTAATAAAAATTAATTAGGTGCCGAAAATAAGAATAATTTTCTTTTCAGTACGATCGATTAAAAAATTTAAATAATGTTCGCGAAGAACGTTATCAGGTTTCAGTTATGAAGATTTTAGGTAAAAATATGGATAATATAGTTGTGGATAATAGATTTACTGCAATTGAGTGTATGAATTTTTTAAAAAGAACATACGAAGGTGATAAGTTTTCAACATTCGAAACATTCTTGCCTTTAGACTATATATCACGTAAAACAATTGACGATACGGTATTAAGGTAAAAATTTATATAAAAATATTAAATTTATTTGCAAATAAATGATTACAAGATATTATTTAAAGAAAAATTAAAGATGAAAGAAACACGAGACTCATATCTGATGTAATAGTTACTGAATCCGAAGAAATTAAACGGCTTCTATGTCATTTTTATAATATAGAAAATGTAATTGTTTGTGAGACCGATGACGAAGCTTCCGATCTTTCATTCAGAAAAAAACTTAATGTAAGGATTTTTATTTTAATGTAACGTAATTAATGAGTTTTTGTAAGAATAATTTATAAAGTAAATAATTCCATACAGTGCGTTTCATTAAACGGAACATACTATAAAAAGGATGGCCAATTTTCTGGTGGATTAGCTAATTTATTACAACAATTAAAGCAATGGAACTATAAAGAATACGAAGATCTAAAAGAAAAAAAGGTAAATTGTTTTGTTTAATTCTTGATAAATATAATAATATTGATACAGCATGAATGCATATATTTTTATGAATGTAAAGAGAATGAAAAGTAATTTACTACAAGAATTGCAAAAACAAATTACTGAAAAACAAAAATATAAGGATGAGTTGACGGTTGAATTAGAAGCGGTTAAAAGATGGTTAGAAACAAACTTAAGGCCTTTTATTGCAGTAAGAAAAATATTTTTTAATATTTATAGAATAAAATTATGTACTTGCAATTCTAATTGTGATTTTTGTTTTGTTTTTTTTTTGTTTTTTCAAGAAACACACAAATGAGCTGTTGATTAAAGAAAAGAGATTATCAGAATTAGAGAAAGAACTTGTTTCATTGAAAACTAATGTAAGAATAATTTGATATACCAATTAATTAAATTAAATATCTTATAATATGCTATCTTGTTCTTTAGCCGAATATTGCAAAGCTACAAAAAAAGTTAGACGATAAAAATAATGAATTAGAAAGAATGGAAAATGAGAAGAACCTAATTGAAGATAGAATATTTGCTAGGTTTTGTGATAAATTTCATATTGACAATATACGTCAATATGAACACGGGGACTTGAAGTAAATATAAGTATTTTGAATAAATTGTTAATACATCCAATTTTTATTAATATTCCTTGTTGTAGAAAATATAAAGAACGGATTGGACGAAAAAAAGAATATGAAATTCATTTGGATAAAATTAGTAATGAAATTGAATATGAAAAAAGTCGAAGTACAAAATGTAATCAATTATATTAAAAAGTTATCCTATATTATGCAAATCATTGTATATTGCTTGTTTATTCAATTTTATTGTGTTATATTGAAATTTCTTTAAATTTTCAGCCACCGTTCTTAATTTAGAGACTCAATTAAATGAATTAAAAGGTGTTCATAGTAATTTAAAGGAAAACGAGGATAAATTAAAAACATTAATCGATAAAAATAAAAGTTATCTAAAGGATAATGAATTAAAGTCATTAATGCAGAAAGTGGAGGAGATTAGGAAAGAAATCAAATTAGAAGGATTTCAATGTAAATCGATTAAGCGAGACGTAGAAGAATGGAATTCAACCATTTCAACGACACGTGTGAAGATTTCGAATCTTACGTTTAAAAAGCATAAAATACTTATGGACTGCAAGGTCATAATTCTTTCGTTTCACTGTTTATGATATTGGCAGTATAAATGATATGGTCGATTGATATTTTTAGATAAATAATATTAATATACCATTGCTGGAGGGAACAATGGATAAAGTACTATTAAAGCTCCCAGTAGATTCGATAATAACAGAAGCAAGTGAAAGTAGTAGTCGTCAGTCGAGTGATTCTCAGCTTAAAGAAAATGAACTTGAAATTGATTATATAATTATCAATAATTCAAATAAAAATCTAAACGAAGATGAATTAAGAACGGAAATTATATCTCTTAAAAATAAACAAAATGCTATTCGTGCAGAACTGCAATTATCATATCCAAAATTAAAGGTTTAAGGGTGTTTACAAAATTAAGATGTTATATTATTTTATAACGACAACATAAAATAATGACAAAAGCATTTTATATACTTCATAGGCAAAAGAGAATTTAAAATCAATCGAAGAGAAAATGAAAATCTTAAACGACAATTATAAAAAGAAGCGGGAAAAACTCGGAATTGTTAAAAAAAAATTTAACCAAGTAAAAAATCAGCGACGTCTTAAATTTAATGAATTTTTTAATTCTGTTGCCGAGCAAATTGATGGAATATTCAAAGTAAAAATTATTTTCATCCTTTGATAATTTATAAATACTAGTCACATAATAAATTATGTAAAATTAAAAATCTTAAATGCTTAGAATTTATACAAGAATCCAGCGGCTCAAGCATGTATTAATGTTGAAAATGTTGAAGAGCCTTATTTAGATGGTATCGAGTTTAGCTGCATAATTCCTAAAAAAAAATTTGTTCCAATGCAGAATTTATCTGGAGGTGAAAAGACAATGTCTGCCGTAGCTTTATTATTAGCCATTTATCGGTAGGACTTAAATTTTTAATAATAATTTTAACAACAATTTTTGTTTCATTAAATTATTAATGAATGACTTTGTAGGGTGAAACCCGCTCCATTTATTATTTTCGACGAGATAGATGCTGCTTTAGATAATGCTAATATAAATAAAATAGCGAATCATTTGTTGCAATTGAAGTCATCAATGCAAATCATTAATATTAGTCATCATGAACTACTTTCTAGTTGTGCAGATACAATAATTGGAATAAACATATCAGTAAGTGCAGATTAAATAAATAGGCCCGATAAATTTGTAAATAAAATTACTTATTTTGCTCGTAGCCCCGGACAAATTCGACCTACGTTGTACACGTGAAGCTTGGTCAATACCAAAAAAAAACCATAATATCAAAGTGCATTAAAAATACTTTGAAGGAAAAGCCTCAACTTTTAAAGGCTAGAATGGAGAATTACTCAATGGTGGAATAAAATTTTTCCTCGTGCTTGACGGTTATAAGAAAATTTCGTATAAAAAATTATTATTATTATACAATTTTTGTACAAACTTCGAAATATCAACTAATCTGTAAAAGTTGTATTAAACAGAAAAAAATTTAATACCTTCGATCTCATTTTACACGCAATAATCGATAATTTATTAATTTTGATGATTTTTTACACTTATTTTTTGGCCCAAATGATTATAGCTATTATTTGGCATTAGTATTTTAGTAATTGAATGCACATAATTATTATTAATCTATTACTTATTTACATTATAAATTATAGATTGTAATATTATATGTAATATCATATATATATATATATATATATATGATATTACATATAATATTACAATCTATAATTTATAATGTAAATAAGTATAATAAGAAGAAGAAGAAGAAGAAGAAGAAGAAGAATAAAAAGATGAATGATTTTATGATGTGTTAAAATAGCTTAGACCATACGATAGTCACGGGAATTAGTCCGCGGATTTCAGTTACATCATGCTTCATTGCCTACAAAAGAAAGACATCCTCGCTATTTTCGAAGTTATACGTAACATACACGCACCTCACACCATGACAAGATCGTTACAATTTCTCGCCTCGTCATCCAATACATCTTTCTTCATCTCCACATCATGATCGCGCGCGTCCTACTTCAAATCGGCAGTAGCGACCGACGCCCGCGCATACATACGATCTCCGACATACTCGTGGCCACTTACGTAGTCACGCAAAATGATAATTAAAATAAAGGGAACTTTCTTTTCACGCTCGTGCGTACGTTGGCTTAACGAGATGGAATTGCAACGAAGCGCACGATAGTTGTACTAGCTGGAAGTTGCGTGAGTAATATTCTTTTTTATGCGTGCACGCGGTTCAAATAATTTGAACTATGCGAAAATGATAATTCTGGCAGCTGAAAAATTTGTCGATCCTCGTTATTTTATATGTCACTTAAATCTCTGTCTCGGCCCTTAATCGATAAACTTCGTTATCAGAATATTCAATTGTTGTCCGAAGATTTTAACGTCAATGCCTCATTTTCAGCATTTTGCATGTTAAATGTATTTGTACGAAGATATTTAAAAAGCTTCTTCTTTTCTTCTTTTTTTGTTTGCTGTTGTTGCTCCAATACTATTATTATGTACTAAGTAATTAAACAGCAGCTAATTTTGTAAAAAAAAAAATAACAAAAAAAAAACAAGAAAAAAAATTCAATTTACTTTTATAAATTTACGCGAATACTAATACTTTTAATAAATAATTCAACATATCGTCAATAAAAAAATATGCGATGAACAGGCCAATTTTGTGAATCATATTTCGTGAATTTTATCTTCTTATAAGCTTGTTTGCGCAATTAAGGTTGAGAATGATTGGAAATGCTAACAGACTCGTTTCAGTAAAATTTATAATATTTTTTTTATTTATGAACATTTATTCGTATATCTTCATTTATAAATAAACTTATTTACAATGCGCATAGAAGTATTAAACGTACGTATTATGGCATAAAAATAATTCATATTTTGCACTTTCATAATAAACTTTTCGTCGGTCTGAGTATTTTTCTATTATCTTTTATAATTTATCTCGTCGATATATATATATTGTTCTATTTAGGATGACTTTTCAATTTTTTAATTCTAAAAAAATTTCATTAGCTTCCTAACTAATAATACTACAACTATAATGTAACTCTATACATTTTTCCATATAGTATTTTCTAAAAAATCCACTTTGAGTGAAAATGTATTTTTCGATTATTTAAATACGTTGTCGATAAATTAATTTGTCTAGTGAAAACAAAGTCCATCAATGCTTATGAGAAAATCATTTTACCAATTTCATGTCACGAGTAATGGCAATCGGATTTAATAAATGCAGTAATACTCTACATTTTTAGTAACTAGAATTTGAAATTAGTGTAATTAGGACATCTATCCATTATTGAAATATCTCTTCCCTAAGAACAAAAAGAATCTTCTTAGCTTATCTATTTATCTACTAATATAACTTGTATTTTTTTCGATGATCACAAAGCTCAACGATCAGCTCGGCCACTTTAGTGTACTTCAAATCTAAGTCATAAATCCCACTGTCCCGTTTTATTAATGAGTTAGCGCCGACAAAGAATGTAAATAACTCTGATTTATCGTGAACTTTAAGTCCTTAATACAGCATCCGAGGCTCCAAGAAACTATGCATCTGAAACTACTTAGAAATCTAGCTTCGTCATTGCGAGTCGTAATGTTCTAATGCGGTACAGAAAAAGAAAAAAAAAAAGATCAACCACTTGATTTATATACTACGTATTGGACGAGATTTTATCCCTCGTGTTATTTTAATAGTAACTAATAGTTACTAATTTTACGGCTAATAGTTTGTTTTTATTCCAGATACGTTACATTTAAAATGCAATCGAACATTACGTTTGCATACATTTATCTGTATATCGTACAAGCGATAAAATTATTTTATACTGTATTTTTAATCTAAGATAATTAGAACGAAGAAACAGCATTTAAAACACTCGTGTTTACTGAAATTAAATCTTTTTCTCTGTTTATATTGCATATACCACCGACACTCGCTATAATTTTACCATTGACGAATAGTGACAATTATATATAATAATTTATAAGAAAAAAAAAAAAAACAATTACATTTTTTTCTATATAATGGTAAAGAAAAAACAAACATTAGGCCGTCTATGCTGAATTTTATCATTGAAATTCAAATTATACAATTGAACGGAGAATGTAATGAAATAGTTGTTAAGTAAGCATTTTTGGTTCGTATAAATGACGTATCAGTCTCTCTTGGATATATTACTTATAAAACACTAAATGACGTTTAACGATACTTTTAATCCTATTTATAATCCAATTTAATAGTGTTATAGGAAATTTTAGATTTTAAAGAAGGAAACAGGAACGCCTACCCGCAATGCCGTACATCTCCTTTTTATTGTACGGAGGAGGAGAAGGAGGGGGTGGCTGGGGGTGGTTTGGGTGGTGGGGATGGGGAGGCCGTCGACAAGTCCAGTACCATATTGAAAACCATTGTGGGAAACATGGAACATATTAAAAGCGCCATATAATGCAAAATAGTACTCGGCATTGTTCGGGCATTAGACAAGTGCTGAGACACTGCGGCTCTAACACAAGTGTCAATAAACGTTTGGCGCTCGTGAAATCAAGAGAGACAGGAATGCACAGAGCACAATTTATCAATCGATTAATAATAATAAAAGTGAAATTCAACTTCCATCGATTGCTTGTCAATGGACATATAACTTACACTCGCACTTGCTCTTGCTTATGTCAAACATACCTAATCGCCGTAGAGCTGCAGATTCTCTTCCGTGTGACCCTAATTTCTTTTGCATCTCATAGCAACGACACATATACACTTGTCCACGTCTGCAAGGGCTTGGCTCTTC